ATTTATACACTTATTAGGCTATCTAGAATATTCCTTCCTATCTGATACTAGCCTCTGTTATGTTTCCCTGATACCAGTTCACAGTCTCGATGCCAGTTGCTAGAATCCTCTAGTCATGTTCAGAATAAACTAGAGAGAAGTTTCGCCTTTCACAGAATTGTTGATGCACGTGATTAACATCACGTGATACAGGACAATTATCGGCCCACTAGCCGTTACACTGGAATATTCTTCTCGCCTGCAACCAGTTTCTAGTATGTTCCCCTGAGGCTGGTTTGCAGTCCTACTACTAGTTACTAGAAATTTCTAGTGACATCCCAATTGGTCTATGAAAGAGTTCTGAGTTTCGAAGATATGTACAGCACGTGATTACTGTCATGTGATACTGAATAATTACCGGCTCACTAGACGTTACGCTCACGACCTAGATGATTGATATCTCCCTTACTGAGCATGTTTGATGCTTGAGACTCGACTAGTGCATGGTATGGTCTGATACACGTGTAGGCTTTCATCCACCGACCCTGACCCCATACTCATATTATTTACTGTCGTGCGTTTCATTGTCATTGTTAGAGTATGGAACGAGTGATGGATGGTATCTAGTTTGGATTTGGTCTATCAAGTATACATGTATATAAGCTGTCTAGGATGTTAAAGTTATGAGCTTGAGCGAAGATGGAGTTTGTAGCAGAATCAGTGTCGGCGGTTAGATCAATGCAGTAAGTCTTTATGAGGTTGTGATAGGAAGATCCGAGTGGAAACAATTGTATTTAGATGTATGGTTCAGAGTAAAACCGAGATGATAAGAGAAAGATTGCGTGTTTGCATATCTTATCAACTGTGGTTTTTGACCAGTATTTATCAATCTCCATGGATCGTAAGTTATGATCCATGTAGATGTAGATCTATGTACATACACATATATGGGCCAGGAATATAAAGCTAAATACATGTGTGTCAGTAATAGATACAAGAAAACTATAACCTGCATTTGAGACATAGTCATCTGCTGGAATGCTAGTGTGAAATAAACGCTAATGCGCATTAAACTTTCGGTGAATGATGTATTGATAACAGTGATATAGAATGGGGAATTTGATAGTCAAATTAGCCGGACTTACTAATAAGGTATCCTTGGCATTCCAAGATATATCATATTTCAACATAAGAATCACCAAGACAGATAATCTAATCAATTCAATTCATTCAACCCATCTTTTATTTCTCCATAGTATATCACATATTCTCCCAATTCATATCATTATTATTCTATTCATAAAATCGGGCCGATATTCGTTGAGCCGCCTTACTCATCGATCCCATACCAATTTTCCAACATAAACATTCTCAATATTGCTCTTAGATATTCACCCTAGCTTAAACAACGGTCAGACCGTAAGACTCAGCTTGGCGGTATTTTCAATTAAAATCAAACCATGCCATTACATCTGCGTACCTCTATTGTATAAAAATCGAGCGGAAGACATGTGCGACTGCTGCGGCCGGAGAGAGCGACAAACAGTCAGACATCTAGTGCTGGACTGCCGAAGACGGAGGAGAGAGAGAAACAAGATGTGGAAGCAGATGAGAGAAGATAAATTTTCAACTATTAATGAAAGGAATATAGCTCTAATCTTTGTAAATAGAAGGGAAACAGCCGAACTGCTAAAGTTTTTAGAGGAAACAGAGGTAGGTAAAAGATTGTTGATAAATTGGGACTAAGAAGTTTATCCTAGAGTGAAGAAATGTGATTGATCTTTATGAAGTATTCCATCTCTCTTTAAATACAAGTCCTTCAGTCCTTCATCCGATCACCCACGTACAGACCATATAGTCTCCCCTTACTATTGTGCAAGCTTAATGTGTCAAATAGTCCTAAGTATGAAGTAATAACATGATTAGTTCCAATATTGCAAACAGCAACTGTCATGAGCGACTAATACTAGTACTAGTTTACGAGTCGTAGATAACACGAATATAGATAGTTACAGGAATACGACTCGTACATGAGTACAAACAGTTACAGAATATTTTCACAGATAACGTCAGGTAAAACGTTTAAAGCTCAGTATGTCTCACGTGAGATCTTGGCGCACTTAGCCCGCAGGGTTATATGTACTTTCTTGTCAGTTTCACATCGCTTTGGATGCAGGTCATGGTTAGGTTGACAAAGAGTCTCAGTACATGGGGAAGAGCAAGATAGGGCAGAACGGCTCGATGAGCTTGGATGGAATTAAATAGACAAGGAGAGCAGAATGGAGAGGTATTTGAGAGTAGGGGCTTCTTGAGAAATACGTAAATAGACGCGGCAGTAGTACAGAAGTGCGGGAGAAAGGATGGCTGCTCCCACGAGAGCCAAAGTCCGAATGCCCGGCTCACCTTCCGTGGTGGAGGGCGAGAGGAGGAGATAATACGGGTCAAATGTGTGGAAATAAGAGATGCGGAGAACACTTTTGTCAGGGAGAGCTGTTATATTTTTCATTCTACTCGCAAATGGGCGGCTAATTGTGGCATAGCTAGTACATGCTGGATCCACTACAAATGATGAAAAAAAATCGTACAGAGTATATCTTTCAACAAGGTGTAATCATTGAAACTAGGATGTACTATATTATGCTTGCAGACTTGATGATATTTCCGCTGGTATCCATATCGTTTAGAGCGAAAAATTTATATGGTAGAGCGTCTTGGATTATAGTTGTCAGGGAATACTTCTGGATCAACATCATCCCATGCCAAATACTAGTATTAGCGTATAGCATATGTGTTGGTGAGCCAAGTAATGGGTTGGTTACCACATAGGTTTAGTTCAGGGTTTATCTCATGTAACGTTGAGCTGTTGTATGAGTTGGGAGGAAGCTCCAGTTCACTTTTACCTAGAGTATAACTAGTCGCTTTACTGCTGGTGGGATTGGGCATACGACGTTCTTGTATCTTAATTACCGGTTGGAGACTACTTACTCATTCGAGCTGCCTGTATATCATAACTCCTACCCAGCGATATTACCTATCTGAGACGTCTCCCTTACAATAGTCTCGCTAGCTAGACTATTCGGTATTTCGAAATGACTTGATTTGCCCCTAAGAGAGTAATCGACACCCAGGCTCGTGGAAGAAATGGCGGGCAGGAGTTGAATATCAATTGCTGTAACATGCGTATAGAGTATAAATTTTCACTTGCTTAGAACGTTTACATCTTTGCGACTCAACCTTTTTAAATTTGTCCTAAATATTTCTCAAATATAAAGAGGAATAGCGATTAATGCGACCTAGAAGTCAAGGATGAATCATGGCTCTTGCTTTTCGTCTTTAGACGTGATATCTATTTTACTTCATCGTCCTGGACACATCATCAGGAATAAGGGAAAGTATTGGCACCTTACATATCCATGTACAGCCTCTGATCGCAGGATTCATGATACGGCGAATAAGTTTGGTCAACAATTGCGTAGACTCCTAACAGAATCTCTTAAACGAGAAGGATTATTAGTTGATGAGTGACTGGATGATCTATCAGGTCTTTAAATTTACGTTACAAAGATCATAAGAAATACCACGGCTCTCCATTAGTTTAGGTCTCCGAGGAAATATGTGTCCTATTAAACAGTCAGGCGAAGGTAGACACTACCAATTGCAAAGTAACTATTATTCCTGCAAAAGCGAACTAAATCCCTCTTTTAGCCAAGAAAGTCGATAGAGATATCAAAAAAACTTTAGGGTATTATAAGATGTGCGGGAACCAAGACGTTAATTAGGCCTCGAGGGTTAAAGCTGCGCCGAAGATTATTTATCAAAATTCTGGGGAAAATACCAAGCTGTGGAGATTTTATAGCTCACCATCGCCGCTTATATCTTAATGATATTTACACAACATGCGTTTCTAGAAAGTAGGATGTTCCTAACAATTTTATCTCTAGCTAAAAAAATACCACACGGATATGAAAGCTTATGAAAGATACAGTAGTGTTTGAGCTTCTCGGGCATGACTGTGATCGTAGATTGTGGACCTACTGCTTGACCCTTGCTGTGATGGAATCAAGAATGGTGATTGCTATATTATAACAGATTAACCAGTGATGAAGATAAGGCTTTGGAGACAGAGAGTAGGCCCACTCATTTTTATTATTATTTTTCCTTCGGATTTTTCCCTGTAAAAATGTAGCAGTCTATGATAAGAGTTGGTACCATGGAACAAAGCATTCCCTGGGAAATAATCGACGCTATCTCCACCACTTTTGTGTCAAGTTCTAGCTTAATTACTTAAACTTAGAACTCTAAAATAAATCATGAAGCAGTTACACAATTATGGTCACATGATTATATTCTGGGGGACCCAGTTCACTTCTAAATGAGAGGCTCGATATGTATTTTGAATAAATAGAATTGAGCGATCTTTATCGTGTGTAGACGGTTTAAGAAACCAGTCGTTTTCAATGAGTGAGGGTGTACGGAATAGTTTTTAAGATAAAAGTATGTTGGTTGCAAAAACTTCACCAAATTTTAATAATGGTATTCCTTACAAAAAGAATTACTTAATTTAAATTATATAAGCTTCAAAAAAGTTCGTAACTTTCATTGAAATCAGCAACAACAGACTGGACCTGTCCATGTTAAGTCTTCGAGTACAGTTCTTGCTGAAAATTGTATTAAAGAGTCGTATATGCACTAAGCCTACATTACATACTAGTAAATCACGTGCGCCACCAGCACCTGTAAACGGATCAGCGAAAGACTATTGATAAAATCGTAGTACTTGCCGCGCCAGCACGACCAGTCTTCATGTTTCCACACACGCACAAACGCAGGCATGTATCAAAACATATCTCTGTAGGGACGATTATTGATGATTTTGATCCGATTGATAGATTCAAGAGAGGTTATACTAAAACGACTCTGTGGCAGCTGCTAAGTCATATCCTAGATCCATAATCTTGGCTTTGTCATCAATGCTTTGCTATAAAAGCACCTTGAATAAGATAGAGGCGCAAATATGTGCATTACATACTTCCAAAGCTTGGGATTGTGGTGGCATCAGCAATTTCAAGCCGTGCAACAAGCTTTTTAACGCTCGTCCATTCTTCGTGACGCGCGCTCTCTTTCCCACCCAAATCGGGGCCTACTTCAAACACAGTGAGACACGCGTCCATGCCACCTGTGGCGAGTCTTTTGCCCTCGCTTTTCTCCCACGCCACCTTGTTTAGGCTCTTAGTCATGGCGTTGCGGCTACTGGGTGAGACCTTGGCCATAGGAATTTCTGTATCAATAGTCAGATCCCAGACTTCAACGTTACCAGCACCATCAACTAGAGCGAAGACACCAGGCTTCACAGGCGACCAGGATGCGTCATAGACGATTTCTTCGCGCGAGATGTCCAGGATCGGAGTGACCAGTTGGACTTGTCCAGTGATGGACGTGGTCGTAGATGCAGTTGGTGCACGCACTTTCCAGAGCTTTACGCTCCAGTCGAGCGAAGAAGAGATTACTAAGTCCCCGAGGTCGATTGGACCGCGCGCTGGGTGGAAGTCTATAGACATAACCGGAGCAACATGACCACGGTAGCTCACCCTATGGTCTACACCTGCCTTTGCACCAGCACGATCATATCGATGACAAGGGAAAATTGTGCCATCTTCGGACCCCACAAGAAAATAAGTTGGGTCAGTTAGGGGAAATGTCATGCAAGTGGGCGCCAAATCCTCATTTTTTGACGGAGGCGGAGTGAGAAGGGTAAGATGCTCTTGGGGTTGCGCCAGCATATCAACTGTCCAGCCGCAGACCACGCCATCAGTAGAACAAGATATAATATTATTGGAATTTTGCGTTCCTACTACATCAATTGAATAAATTGGGTGAGTATGACCTGAGCCAGTAAGTGGAGTTTTCTGAACCGGAGGAGACTTTGCGCGAGTGTCCCACAATAAAACTTGACCGCTGTAGCAACCACCAATGATGAGATTAGGATGATATGGTGAGAATTTTGCCGCAAGTACGTCAGATTGGGCATGAAAAATATATTCTGGACGGTCATGAAGATGCATATTCCACACCTGTACTAGTCCATCGGGATCGTGAGGTGCCGAGGGATTTTTAGTGTAAGCAGCAAGCAGAAGTTCCGGATATTTGGTAGAAAAGTTAATGTCGCTAATCATTCTTTTTTTCGACCACCTCTCGTCATAAAACTGAGCAACCTCTTTAACTCTCCTTCTTCCCTTGTCGCTTAAGCAACCATTTTTATCATCATATTCTAAGTTATCAGTTCCTGTACGTGCGTAATCTGTTAGAATATCATAATCTTGATCCAATGCTCTTTCGATTACTTTGCATGATTTCTCAACGAATTGCATGAATTCTTCTGAAGATGTGACAGCATGGAGTTCTTCGGCTGTCAATGTTCTTACAGGATAGTTTGGAATGGCGTCTTTTGCGCTTCGTGCAGGGGTGTCATCTGTAGTGTCTTGAGTGGACTTTAGTTCCGCCTCGATTTCTAGCCGTATCTTTTCCCTAAGTTCTGCTTCTCGATCTCTCTCTCGTCGGCTTGAGCGTTTGTGCACGCTGATAATATCCGAGGCTCCTAAATCATCATCTTCGTCGGCTGAGTCATAATATGACTTAGGTCTAGGACTGTAGAGATCCCATTCATCCGCAGTTTGTATTCCTTTACTGTACGAGTAAATTTCCTTGACGGGCGAAGGAGGAAAATCATATACAACTTCTAAAGGCACAGTAGAAATAATTTGTTTCGACAAAGGAGCATTTAATTTAGTTTCATTAATGGAAACTTCTACGTTTCCAATGCTGGTTTCCCCTGCGCTTTGAATGCAGTTGGATTGACTGTCCGTAGTAGCTTGCGGTGCAGCTGATTGCGGTCTATTTTTTTCCCCAGAAATTAATATAGATGAAATGTACTTATCCAGCTCTTCTCGGTTCTCTACTCGGTTTGTCGTTACCGTAGGCTAGTATTCGTGAGCCTTTGTCAACCAGAAGAGGGATAACCACAAACATCACTGGAGCTCCCAATTCCATTATGAGTGGCAGATATTTCCCGCAATCGAAGCTCCCTCTGTCTTTTAAGCTCGGCTAATTTGGCTTTCTTGGCCAGAATTTCATCTCTTCGCTGCTGCATTTTTAATGCGGTGAACTGTTTCTGAAGCTGAATGCCTAGCTACCAATTTATTAAAGGTATATTTTCAATATATTACCCGCAATGGGATACCTAGAGGAGGGCTTCTTTCATGTGCGACACTATGATTTTACCTCAATAGTTTCTAGTTTCATGGATCATAATTTGATTGAACAGTAAGGAGCGCGCAGGTATAGAACTGTTGAACAACCGAGTCATGTGATAGTTTCCTTACCGAAGTAATGTGTATGGACAGCAAGATGCGAGAGATGTGTGTAGGCAATTCATCCCGTTAAGCTCAAGATTCAAAACAACTTAAACCGGTCGTCCTCAAGCTCCAGCATTTATCCAAACAGGGTGATTAAATTCCACAGATCTCCCCTCAGAAATTTCTACTCAATGGCCTCAGCCGGGGTAAATGTAAGTTCAATCTTGCAGCGAAGTACTTTTCCCCAAAGTACTAAAGACATCTGAGGTTGGATTAAAAATTTCTAATATGATCTCACAACTAATTCTACTTTCTTACAGGTGTTGCGCTACTCAGTCTTGGGTGCTGGAGTGGTATATGGGTTTCTGCATCAATCAAAATTATCATCAGCCGCAAAGCATTCCGCGATTCAAAAAGAATATGATCACAAAGTAGCGTTAATCGCTCAGGCTAAAGCAGAATATGTGAAAAGAACTTCACCTTCCAACCCGAAAGCTGCTAGCAATACTGGTACGTTTAATGTAACACAAAAGTTATTACCATATGCTCCACATGACATACAAAATTGAAAAAATATCTCAGAACCATAAGACTGATACAAAGCACAGCAATTTTCGATCTTGAAAATCCAAAATTCGATCTCGAGGCATACATCAATAAAATTTCAACAGATGGCCACTAGCGTAGCCGTCATAGCTCTACAAGATGAACGAATAAAATCCTAGCGCTTTGCGAGGAACATGGGTGAGTCTTATTTTCGGCAAGACAAACTTATAGCAGGAAATATATACCCGAAAATTTCGATGGACTTGATCAATCTACTTGTTACGTACCATGGAATAGGTTGTTGCTGGTCTACAAGAAAGACGATATCCCAGGCTGTCTGGGTCCAGGAAAAGTTATTAATGCAGGAGACCGCCATGATTTAGATCACTATGATACTTGTACATGGAGGCAAAGTCTTCGGCCTTCTATTGTAAAAGTTATGCTGTAAAATAAAATTCCAACTAAAATCGCTTAAATTTTAATCGCAAATTCAGAGTCCAACGTAATAGATCCTGATCTGAAAAAAGAATCAGCAAAAAAATAATTGCTTTGAAAGCTCAAGATTAGTCAAATCAACGATGCCGATGTATTGAAGCAAAGGTTCTCTTGGTACAGAAAAACAGCCCATTCTTAATCATTAATTCAACTTAAGAACATTCCCGCCCTTGTAATTCGTAGAGATGACAAGCGGCAGTCAAGCGATCTAGTGTTGATGTCGGCTTATCGAAAAAGTAAAATGAAGACCTAGATTTGAGATCTAAGCTCACAGGAGGATCATGAGAATGGATTGTAACTATGAGTATAGTTTCGTGTCTGTTGTGTACTTTTACTGTTCATGTCCGTACAGGAGAGCTCTCGCATAAGCATATCGTTATGTGACATAAGGCCCACCCATATTAATTATATTTCTTTTTTTATGATCTAGATCACTGAAGAAAGACTATGGCTCTTGCAAGTATCGCTCAATACCTAAAACTACGTGAAAATTTTCGTAACGGATATCATGTTTTCTTATTCATCTCTTGGTAGTCTCAACGTTTCACTTGCAACCCTACTGAGCTTTTCTGCGGAGACGACCTCCGTTAAGGCTTGATCTAGACTTACTGGCTTCCAAGCAGTTGAATTTGGCGACTGTATTGATTCTAGTCTATCGATAGGATGTCTTGGCGATTTAATCATAGCTTCTAATCTATCGATTGAATAGCGTGGAGAATGAGCACTATTTATGGGTTTATTCCATGGTATAGAGCTATGGGTTTGAGCAGATGAAAGAGTGTCCATAGGACTAGTGTGTATATCAAAATTCCTGAGTGCATCTTCATTGGGAAGCAGAACACCGAGCTTTTTGGTCGTTTTCTTCGCCTTCGACTTTGAGATCTCTGGTATCTGTGAAGAATCTGACGTCAAGTTTTGCTCCGGCTCTCTAGTTTTTAGAGGATTCGGTTTCAGCATCAGTTCGGAGTTAGTCTCTTCTGTTTTTAAATGGTTATGATCGAGCTCTGGCTCTGATTTTTTCGGTGGACTTTGAGAATCCGAAGGTTCTGATATGAAGTTCGACACTGACCCTCGCAAGTTTAGGGGATTAGGTGTCAAATCTAGATCAGTTTTCGGCTCTTCTATCTCTAGACTCTTTGACTTGTACTTTATCTCGGAATCTGGCTCTTTTGTTCCTTGAGGTTTCGGATTTGAATCTATCCCAGGAACTGACCCTTCAGTTTTCAGTGGCTCTGGTATATCCAAAGGATTTAATATCGACTTTAGTTCAGTTGACTGTGTTTCTTCAAGTCTTGGCTTTGATTCCGCCTCTGATTCCTTTCTTGGCTCTAACTCCACCTCTGACTGCATTACTGGCTTAATTACGGTATGATCTTCGTTCCTGTTTTCGGCCTCACCCACACCATCAAATGTGGTCGTAGGTTCCTGTTTACGACTTTTTGCCTTCCGAGCAACTTCAAGGCCTACCTGTCTCAAGGTCAGAGACATTGAGGAGAGTTCTGACTTGGAAGTTTGGCTTTCAGTTGGTGGAGAAGCAAGAATCTTTTCTTGTATTGGCTTCATTACGGGCTTGACATTTTTGGCGAATGTAGGATTCACTATTGGTAGCACAGGTGCCCCGGGAATAGGTACTATTTTGATGTGTTGTTTCAATTCTCCATACTCATTCCAGTCTTCTACGTCAACGATATCCTAAATAGGTCAGCCGTCGGAGTAAAGCCTTGGCAGGAAGAACTACTCCAATAACCATCCCCATTTGAACCAGACCGGGGATCTTTCTCTGCCGCCCAGATTCATCTTTTCCTGCTCTTCGACCCCATAGCATACGTGCCTTTTCATCAGTAGCAAGATCTAGTGCTCTGAATGGAATACGATTGGCCTTAAGTATTGTCTCCATTCGTGACGTAGCGGTAATGATATGAGATGATCCCGATGTTAGACTTGTATACAGCCACAGCGTTGGGTCCATGGAGTAAGATTTTGACGCTGGTTCGTTCATGGCGATTGATTTTGTTAGTTAATAAAAATAAGGATATCGCTCTGGTTCTTGATCAAGCGGTGTTTGTGGTTCCTTTGCCGTCTTCAACTATTGAAAGCAGTTGCGGTGGCAGGTCATCGGTTTCAGATTGGGTCCCTCCACATAATTAGCACGCGCCCCCTATAGTCAGCGTCAGTGAATTCGATGTTTTCCAAATAACTTTTAGTAATCCGGTTTCATCTACATCATGGTAATTTCAAAACATTGTAATGAATAACCCTACAACATTTACTGGAGCAGCCTTGATAGCTCGCGCTTTGAAGGGTCTAGGGATAAAAGTTATTTTCGGCTTAGTAGGCATTCCAATCATACAAGTCGCTGAGGAAGCCCTTGCACTGGGTATCCGATTTATCGCTTTCAGAAATGAGCAAGCAGCCAGCTACGCAGCAACTGCATATGGATATCTTACTGGTAAGCCTGGGGTCTGCCTTGTGGTAGGAGGACCCGGTGTTCTACATGCTATAGCTGGAGTTGGAAACGCATCAGCAAATTCCTATCCCATTCTTCTTTTGGCTGGGTCATGCGAGACTCACTTGGTTGGAAAGGGCGCCTTCCAAGAATCCGATATCGTATCGCTTCTAAAACCTCATACCAAGCTATCAAATCGCGCAACACTAGGTTCAATCTCTCAGTCAGTCACAGACGCATTCAGATTGTCATGGTACGGAAGAGGAGGTCCAACATTTGTAGATCTTCCAGCAGATATCATAGAAGGAGAAGGTAGAGAAATTAAAACCCATAGGATTCCAGCGCCACCTCTAGCAGCTTCTGATCCTGCAAAAATCCAGCTTATTGTTGACCTCCTTAAATCTGCTAAAGCTCCTCTAGTAATTCTAGGTAAGGGTGCTTCCTACGCTCAAGCAGAGGTACCTATTCGTCGTTTCTTGAATCATGCAAGAATACCATTTTTACCAACACCTATGGGGAAAGGAATTATGCCTGACTCTCATCTCTTAAACGCTGCCTCTGCACGATCATTGGCCCTTAAGCAAGCAGATGTTGTACTTATATTAGGAGCTAAATTAAATTGGATATTACACTATGGAGAGTCACCCAAGTGGAACGATTCGGTTAAAATTATCCAGGTTGACATTGTTGTGGAAGAGTTAGGCAGAAATAATGCTGACCCGACATTTGCTGTGGTGGGTGATATCAGCCTTGTAGTACATCAGATAACTGAAGCCCTTGGCTCATGGAAATATCAACTATCATCCCCATTTATCGAAGCGCTTCATGAAAGTAAAATTAAAAATGAAGCAAAAGCAGCCATTGCTGCTAAATCAGATGACCTTCCGATGACATACAGCAAAACATTTGACATAATTAAGAATACGCTCCATAAGCTCTCACCTCCAAAAGACGGTGGAATAGTTTACGTTTCCGAGGGGGCCAATACCATGGATATTTCCCGCAGTATTTTCCCTGTCGAACACCCCAGATTACGCCTAGATGCTGGTACGTCTGCCACGATGGGTATCGGCCCCGGGTATGCCATAGCCGCATACTGTGCGTATAATTTCCCTAATCCCGAGGGGAATTCGGGGCTCAAGCCGTGTCGAAAAAAAGTTGTTTGCCTTGAAGGTGATTCAGCTTTTGGCTTCTCGATGGCTGAAGTTGAGACTATGTCTAGGTATGGTATGGATATTTTGATATACGTGATAAACAACGGAGGAGTTTATCAAGGCGACAGCAATAATTACGACGATTGGTTTCAGAAACAACAGCAGGGTATTTTGAATAAACCAGGTGGACTTAGGAGTACGAGTCTCGGATTTGAGGTCAGGTATGAGATGATAGCAGAGATGTGTGGTGGCAAGGGATATCTTGTCCGGACTCCAGAAGAGCTTGAAAGGGCAACTGAGGAGGGTTTCAAAGCAACTGTTCCAGTGGTTATAAATGTTATCATTGAAGCTGGAGAAACACAGAAGCTCGTAAGTAATCATCTTTCTTACATTACGTAGATCTAATACGAATTAGAAATTCGCATGGCAGAATAGCTCAAGTAATCAAAAGCTTAACTTAAAGCTATAGATATCCGCGACAAGTATTATTTTCTCTGTATACAAAACGTCTAAATCAGAGATAACTATGTGATTTTACTATGAGAGGTAAATCGGTTACATACTTTGATTATTCAGAGAAAAGTCTCCGGACTCAGCCTAGTGCAATAAACAGATTCTGAAGCTGCGGATTGGGATTGGGATTGGGATATCTTTGAGCACACATGGTATGCTATATATTTAGTTTTCGTTCTTGATTGTACTTTACTGTAAATATGTTTATATTTATATAAATATGTGTTAGAAGTTAAAATAACTGAGGAGACCAAGAAGGCCACGGTGTTGATACGCACGTGACAACAAATAACGTACTTAATTTCAGTTCCGTAGTTACTTGAATGGATGCGCTCTACAAACTCAATGACAAAGGGGTCATTTTTTCCAAAATTTTCGACTGGTCTTAATTCACGTACACATAGGTTTAATTCAACTCAAAACGAAAGGTTCAAAATTGAATTTTGTATTGTGTCTATCTTCTGTTTCAGAACATTGCGCGCGTGGAGTTATCGGCTTTAAACTTGTTGTCGACTTTGTATATTGGTCTGTTATCACAGACATTGGAGATAGATTCATGAGATTGCTTATTGAGAGGCTAGGATTGATTCCAATAATATTTGGTGGAAGGCTTGTCCCAACTTTCAGAGGGCTATAACGTCTTTTTTTTGTTCATTATCGTGCTCGGTAAAGTGACTACCGTTGCACTCCTACTGGAGCCTAAGCACGAGTGGGGCCGGGCCGGATCAGGCTAACTGCCGCGAAGTACAGATATACCTAGTCCCACGTAAATGACCGGACCACCTCAGACTTCACCTATGTGATTAATCATACCAAGTCTGACCGTCTAGAAACCCGCTGTCGACACGCACCCGGGCCCTTGACATCCTCATTGACTCCGAAATATAAATGTAGTCCCAGATCTCACCGTTGCTCTAGCCTTGCACCATCATATCGTACCGTCGGGTTGTTGTCGTCATTGGGCATTTGTGTGATCCCCTCGGTGTAGCTTCCCTTTGCTTCCTCCTTTGTACACGTCCCGTTTCCATCATGACTTTCCTCATTAGGGCGTGCGTAGGTAGGTGATGTGACGAGTATGGAGGTGGGTCGCAGGAGTAGAATCGGCTGAGAAATGGATCGTCGCAAATACATAAGGAGTTTGAGAGATGCCAGATGTTTGAATACGACCCCTAGACAGACCTAAATACATTCGTGAATCGTATATTGGTGGTGATGAGTTTTTAAATGACTTTGTGTTGGAAATTCTGAGTCTCAAATTTAGGACTCAACCACTACCTGTTTCGTCTCAGGTTCCCGACAAGATCGACTCTCTCTACATATGTCCCGAGTGCGCTAATCGCGCCTGCTGTTGCATTTACATTTGGATATTTACGTACTACAGTGTACCTTAGCTCATCATGGTAGATGAGAGGTGGCTGGTCATCACTAGGTTTGACAGGCACATGAGACTAGTGGGAATTTCTCCCCTAAGATGTATATATAAGTCCAATGTTCACATAGTTGTAAAATATCAAGTCTTCTTTACTTCATCATATTTATCCATATAATATCGTACAGAGTATATTTCCCAACAATAACATGAGATAAGATCAACTGCTAAGCGACCCGGGGGTGCGCCGAAATGCTGCTGGGGCACAACGCAGCGTTCAATTGCTAGCCACGCCATTCTTTGGCTAATATTCGTTCTGATACTTTCCCCGAGCAAGACAGAAGGTAGATCGGCCAGTCATTTAGCTGTTGCTAAGTCCCATCCTGGTTTTGGAAGCATGATGACTTCTACGCGAAATGCAGCGAGGAAATGTCCGTACTCCAAACACGCTTGAAAGATATTCTTAACCTGCTGACCAATGGCTGGCTAGCATGCTCTGAGAAGTCGGACTGTTATCCTATCTAAGCCTGGGGACTTATCGCCAGTGCCAAGAGTGCTTGTCGTTATAACCTCGTGATAGTGTCGCATTCCACGGAGTCGAATCCGTCTGCCCGGCTTCCCATATGGGGATATCGCGGAAGGCAACGAATCTATTTAGTAGAAAGTCTTGAAGAGCTTCAGCGTGCTCGAGTTGGCCAGATGTCTACGTATCCTCCGAAAATTTCAGTGGGGGAGGATCTCAGCCTACCTTGGGTTTAGCTCACTGCATCATTTTGAAGACTTGAGCATCCGTCCTGGCATCCTCGACTTGTTTGTTTCAGTGGTCCTTTTTTGCCGCTCTTACTGCATGCTTAAATCTCTTCCGAACTTGTACCGCGCCCTCTAGGCAGCTTCTAGCCTCTTGGTACTCTTGGCGCTTCGGTTTGCAATCATCATTCCACCACGGGGCTATGCTTGCGCGCGCTCTTGAAGGCTTGCGTCCTATTGCCTTACGTGTGTCACCTAAGGCCTTCATCAGACTTGATATCCGGCTTTCAATGTCGTCGACGCTGATCAGAGGGCCTGTTACGACCTAGCCTTTGACATTCTGAGCAAATTCGGCTAGATCTTGATCGCGTAACCGTAGTTTCTTGCTTAATACTGACAGCTCTTACTTTCGTCCTGCCTGAACCGACCCTACGATGGTCATATGGTCTGAAGTGCAGTTGAGCTTGCGTGGTATCGGTGCCTCTGCTGTGGCATTACTCCATACCAGGTCCAGTACATTTCCGTCCCTATGTGTGGGCGCACCAATAGATATAAGTAGATACTGTTGGAAATATCGCGCAATGAAATGGGCGCAATATTCATGGAACGAAAGTATAAGTTGACTAAAAGAGTGTCATGTTCAGATTGAAGCTAAAAGTGTGGGAAGTGTGCGCTACAAGTACAAGTGTAAGCGACAGAGAGCCTAAGCCACAGCATAAACGAGTGTGGCGCCATCTAGGCATAGAAAACCCCCAATGACCTCCTTGTGCCCACGCCATACAGCCGTTCATATATCCAATAGGTAGCCTGAAGCGCTACCATATTGCCCATTCCAACCTCTTAAATATACACAAGATCGTGTCGGGAATCTAGACGAAATGGAGGGGCCGTACGTCCACAACAATCTGTGCCTCCATTTCCAACAGATACATGTCCTGGGCTTTCTCTCACTCCATTATTTGATCACCGTTACCATGCTGGCGAGTTGCCTGAGGTTGCCAATGCCTTGACACGGAGTTAAAGTCTCCTCCTACAACTGCCAGACCTGAAGGGCTCTATCGAAGTAGGGGCTCCAGGATCTCGTTCAATCCTGGTGCACGATATGCATTGACAAACATCACAAACTCTCACGAAGCAATAGTCGCTAGTTTAATCCTGGGGAGAGGGATATATATAAATAATTCATTATCCTAATTTGGTGCCTTGAGGCCCATGCAGGTTTTTATCGGAATATATGTACTTGAAGTAGGATGACTCAATTTGACGTTTAGAACACTCACACTCAGATTTTATTTGCAGGTACCACTTGAGGTTAACCCTTACGGCGTATAACTTCTTTCGTGTATACCCCCCACAGGGAAAAGCGTGAAAACCCTATGGCTATCCGAGTGTGCTTTCATCATCCCACAAGTACAATATCACCGCGAGAGAGTGTGGTGTTTGGGTCTGACTGGCTTCGAACAAGCTTTCTCCTGTCTCGAATGGGGTAGGTGTTCAAGCTACCCAGTATCTACTTGGGAGAACGGCCCGGATGGTGTACCACTGCACCATCAAACCGGGGAGAGGGGTATATTTGCACGGCTACTAAGCCATTTCGGACAAAGCTGATTGCCCGAGGACGAGTTCCAGCTACACCTATCGGCTTGTTACTATTGAATCCCAGGTGACTATTGATTGTGGGCTCTCCGTTATTCTATATTATCTATGGTTTCTGTGCCATGACTATGTGTACTCCGGCCTCCCATGCTTGCCGCAGCGTGATATCCATGTTCTCTCCACCCTTTCACACGTTCACTTGGTGAAATAGAAGAGCGATTTGTTTTTCGCTTTGATTACGAGTCGTGGTTGTACAACTCATTAATTTTGTATCATTTCGTCCGGGGTACTGATGATCTCTGGGAGGTCTTACCTTTTTTTTTCAACTCCACTAGCGCAGCTTTAAAGTCTCGATGTCCGCGTTCTCGGATTATCCTTGGTTACGCTGGTGTGCGGGGGTAGAGTATCCCGTTCTGGCGCCTAGGTCAGGCCATGCAGTAAAGTTTAGTCGATTCGTGAGGTCCTACGCAATTGCCACATTTAGGTACCCTGACCTGACATTCTGCCGTTTCGTGTACTCCAGTGCATCGTCCATACCTTTGTCCCTCGGTGCATGACCGTGTACTATGGAAACCCCAGAATCTATGACATTGTTCAGTAGGGCATCGGAATACGAACGGAATTGCCGGCCTACTCTCGTCGAAGAGTCTAAACCTGAGGTTTGCTAGTTTCTATTTAAAGTGGGTGGTCCGACTTGTAGAATATTTTCCAAGCTTAACTTGGTTCCGTCGCACCTGTATCGGTGTGATCCCGCACAGAGCTTGAAATTTTGTTGTCGCCATTTCCTTCGCAACTGAAATACTACCTTCTACAGTTGTGACGGAAACCGAGTTGGTAATGAATAAATCGATTTATTAAACTATATGAAGAGGAAAGAAATCTCTAGCTACTACTAACAGGTACTTATAACGTTTCGTCCGCTTCGTGAATCTGCTGACTGATAACTTCCCCCTAGGCCTAATACTTGCTACTGAGCCAAGCATTATCAGGAGCCATTACGCTATGATGTTGCTTCGACCTCCTGGCTAGTAGTGCTATTTCATCTCTATTTGCCCATCCTTCCTCTTTCAGTCTTATCGTAATTATTCCTAATTAAACGCTTAGGTTTCCTCCTAAGCTAAAACAACGGTCAAACCGTAACAACAGTCCTGATATATAGCGGTATATGCGGCACTATGACTGAAGTCTGGTCAGATGCAAACTCTAGTGCTAAGCCCGACCTAACTTGGGTGATTGCAATAATGGCTGATGCAGCAACTCCTGCTCTCTTAGTAACCAGCTTCTTTATTTTAACTGGTGACAATCTACGCGAGCCATGTTCTTCCTCCAACCGGACGAAAAGCCGCTTATCTTCTTTGGGTGAATGATGTGCGCCAGACTTTGCTCGTGCAGTAGGCCTTCGTGCAGTTGGATTAGTAGGTGGATCCATGAGAATCGCTGCTTTCTGGGCTACTGTGGCCCACGAATAGGTGCTCTTCTGTGGCTTTGCGGGCAGTTCGTGATGAGTTTTTTCCATTGCTTTTGTTGCCCTAGATACAGAGGTTGCTATCTAAATAGGCTTGGGAATTGAGGTCTTGCACTGCGTGTCTGTGCCATCGATATTACCTATCGCAAAAGCTGTCACAACTGCCGAGATCTTTTCGATGAAAGGCGCGACGAAGGCCGCACTTTCTGTTCCCGTCTTAGACCTCGCCTAAGCGTCGATGTTTTGCAGGAACTCTTGAGCTAAGCTCATTCGCTGCTTTGGTTTACGTTCTGATTGCTTCATTGCGGCTGCAATCCCAAGAAAGCTCGGATTCAAGTGATCGCCTGGGTCGATAGACTCCGAGGACGACGGTTGATTGTACGCAGCCTTATTGCTGCTTGATTCTGCGGCAATTGAGATAGTGTAGAAGATGCGATCTGGTGGATAATTTGGATATGCAACTGAGATGATGATATGAGGTTTTTGTTGTACGACTTAGGTCATAGACTATGTAGCACATTGGGCTCCTCTCTGGCCCAGGCCACTCCTTGTAAAATGCCCCTTGTCTCTTATGTTCCTTGAAAGATCATTGATATATTGCCCGTGATGAATAGCCATTCAGATCGATTTTTACTCATGGAATTCGGCCCCCTTCTCCACGGAACCTTCGATTCAAAAAAAGGTAGCAATGGAGACTGCGTACGCGGGAAAAAGTCTCAAAAAACCTGCAGCCCCAGCCAGGCGAGACCTAGACCCCGGGATCACATGAGGTGCGCATATTCATCTAAATCTCCCTTCTTTGTAGCAGTCGAGGTCGACTTGATCCAATCCACCATTTCTGTATTGGGTGCTGGGTACGGTCCGGAAACTCATCGGATGGCTTCTCCCCTATGATCAAGGGTGGGTGACGAGTAGGGCTCCGACCCTACCATCTGATCTGATCACGGTTAGCTTCATGATAATGGTCATGGAGGGTTGTGTTGAGAGATGCAGACGATACAGACCGCGAAAGCGTTGGGGATCGTCATGTAAGAGGATGGAGGCTCTACTCAATCCAGGCTCTGAATAATCTGCAGTGAAAACTGGAGATTCGTAGGGGATACCACTGACAGGCGTTGGATTTCGTCCCTCCGATTCTGCTTGTGCAGCACTTGCGTACTTATCGTTACCCTTTCTTGAGATAGTGTGGTCATGAAGAACATAGCGTGTCATTTCTGCGGTCTACAGTTAAAGCTATTAATCTTCAAAATTTGATCCTTGGAACAGAAATTTATGACCCGGAAGCTTCATTAAGACCTTTGAAGGTTGCCGCCGCATTAATAGTCCTAAAACTATCCATGACGTGAAGCTGCCCTTTATAACATCCTGTGAATATATTAGTCATCGTGATGTCTTCACTTTTATAATTACGAGGTTAGACGGATAATTATTTTGGTAGGACAGAATATATAAAATGAAGAATATGGAATGGATGTTCTGGTGGTGAGCGAATGTATTTAGACTATCTGAGGATAAAATGGAAATCTAAAGATGAAAGCATGATCTACATGAGAAGTAAATGAAGCTGGTTGGAGGGCAAGACTGAACACGTGTCAGTGGTGCTCTCTACGAACCTGGGAGTAAAATATTCTCCCAGAGCCAAGATCAGTCAAATTTCGCAATATCAAAGAAGTTGGCCCACGAGGCAAAAATTCAAACTACTCCACCATGTCCATCTTTCACTCCCAAAGAGTCCGATTCTCAACTAAGCTTCATCAAGTCTACAAGTACGACCTAGTACATCCTCATCTCAATGACCACACCTCTCGTCGACTTTCTCTGGCCTAAGTTGACCACCAAATATACGCCCACACCGATATTTATACCCGATGGAGAAAGCAAAGCGTGGCGCACAAATCTGGGAGATAGCTCTTTGGGACGGACGTGAGAGAGATCAGGACAAGTTTACAAGATGATGCGGAAGAGGGATACATTCTCGACGGGCGTGAAGTGTCGAATTCTAGAAAGAGTTTTACGAATTGAGCTTTGTGCGCGCCAAGACTTCGCTTGCGAGAGTGCAGCTGAAACTATAAACACAAGCCAACGATGGAAGGTGTTGTGGTCCGCCTCCTGGTGGTGTTCTCTGGTACAGTTTGAGTATCCTGGGCACCTACTCCACTTGGGAAGGAGACATCTCAGATTACATTTCACGCGGAGAAAAGTTGATGGATGACAGAGGCATTTCTGGATAACTCAGGGTTTTTGAAATGTTCCCTTGGGTGGGTATTCATGGATGAGGGTTGACTTGGGGTGAAGAAAAAGCCACCATAACTTCGCAGTGGTACTTGCAAATGAAAACCGAGGCATGAGTGCTCCTATTATAAACTGAGTCATCTTTTCTGTACTTTTCTCTGATATTGTGTCATAGCTAGATAGCTGCATACGCAATTAAAATCTGATGCAAAAAAAAAAAAAAGCATCCTTGAAGAGATGATCAGTCGGTACCGGCAGGACAAATGAATAAGGGTATCTAAGATTGAGCTCTGTATCGAGCACTTGTTTCCGATATGGAAATTGAATATTTAATTAGTCGTCAACCCTCCCAGAATCTGACACAATAGAACTTCAGAATTGTGCGATTTGCCATGTTCCCGAGGTCAGCTGTCTCCCTGAGACTCAATTCGTGTGAGTCAAAATAACAAGCTTAAATTCGTCTGAAGGCACTCGATTTTTCTTGATTAGCGCTCGATTTGAAGAGAAATCATTTGTTTTTTCCATGCAACAACAAAATGATGGACTAGCGCATAGCACAGGCAACGCAAGAATAAACCGTGGCAAACTAGCCACGTTTATTGAAAAATAGTATACCATTTGATTAAGCTGTATGGTTTTAAACCGAATTTAAACTATTAAAACTTAAAATTTATATGTATGCTGTATTGTTACAATGAGGGAGTCCAGAGGCATAAAATATCCCTCACAATCCTCGAAGCTTTTCTAAGTTGCCTATACAAGCTATGAAAACTCTCGTCGTCATGTGATCTATTTCATTTCTTTATATATTATCCATTTATGACCAATTTGAGTTTACAACTATGTAGGACAGTTCATTTCTTTATCAATATACGGGAAACTGTCTATTATGCACGATTCTAATCTTTGACCTTAGGGCTAAGGGCTCCTCTAATTGTATGATCGAATGAGGACTTGTGACGGGTGGTACTGTTTGAGGGGAGCTGTATGGGAGGCACAGGAGGGGATATACTACTGGTATAGGTATCCTTGGCCTGTAGGCAGAGAGGACCTGCATGTCCTACATAGTCATAGACTCAGACAGGACAATAAAATGAAATAATAATAATCTTTGACCTTCATATAAAGGTAAAATTCCTTTCGCTTTCAATCTAAATGACATTGTGTGCAGGACTGGGCAATTGCTCGGCCTCATTTTAGACAAGCACCTCGACCGGGACATCAACTTTCTCAACTTTCGATACATTCCAAAGACGGCGCGAACGAAGAAGCCTCACTCAGACAACGAACAATGTACGACAAAAGCTGGGGCACCGATGCCTCGGTTTTGAGCTCTCGATTTCGGAATTTCAGCCCTCTCAAATGGGGGTTGAGCGCAATACAGGGGAGAATTTGGCAAGAATGATATGTGATTTTCAACAGGCTGTTGGCACAGTTGGTCGGGTGCTGGATGTGCTTTCTAGAAGTGGTAGGTTGGATTCCTACACGGCCTGTTTAAGGGGGGGACTACGGCTACTCGTTGTGAAAGAGTACAGGAGGAATTATTGAGGTTTTCCCACGAAGATTTTCCCTCATTATATGGTCTTAGGAACATGGTGAATGCATTCCTACCTATTCGACCCGATGTAGCTAGCGTGAGGCACGTATTTGGAAAAGTCAGGCACCGGATGGGCTTTGCTGGAGAATGGAGGAACTTGTATTCTAGATGTCCTCCATGCGTGTTACGTCCATTGGATGGGGAGTGTAAGCCTGGCACGATAATTAAAATTATCATCATTTGACTTCATATCTTATGCTAGTTCATCATTGTTCTATTTATGGTAGTTTGCCTCAGGTGGATATATGATTTTCTTGCAGACACGTGACCTGTAATCATACCTTTTCGTGTACCCCTTAAAGTCTTAGCCTGCCGCTAACATAAAACTTTGCAAGAATTTTCGAATCCTCATCTCCCATCAAACGCATCTTCACAACAAAGTTTCTATCTTCAACCCCTCATACTTTCTCTAATATAACCATGTATGACACCAACTCAATTCTCAGGATATAACATATTGACAGTGTAAATACAGGTTCCCTCTCCGTCGTGCTCTATTTCGTGCATCCGGCTCATCTGCTTCCATTGTCTCGCGCTCCCGTAATGTTCAGACACCAACCTCCTTTGCGCTAGGAGAAAAGCTTTCTCAAACCCCTTTCAAAGCCACTGTATTTAGTCGCTTTAACAGCGACTATTCTCAAGAGAACAGGTCCCAAGACTTCAGGTCAAAACAATCTGGAACTCCAGAGTTTTCAGAGCAAAATAAGTACAACAGCCAATCATCAGGCAACTCTAGAAGTTTGTCGGGAGGTGAATCAGGTGGTCCACCAGATCTTTCACCAAGTGCAAGCATATACGTTGGAAACATAATATTCGACTTAACTGCCGAGAGATTAGAACAAGAATTTTCGCAATATGGAACCGTCAAGAGTGCAACAATCGCAACAGACGCACGTGGCTTGAGCAAGGGGTGAATATAGACACATTTCATTTTTTATTACATGTTGACTAATTATTTAAGCTTCGGGTACGTTGAGTTCGAGTCAGTCCAGGAAGCCGAAGCCGCAATCAGTGGCAAAAACCAAACAGAACTTGAGGGCCGCCGGATGATAGTTAATTTCCAAGCGAAAAGCAAACGGAGCAACAAGGTCAACCCTCCATCAAATACCCTGTTCGTAGGAAACTTAGCATTCGAGATGAATGACAGTGACTTGAACAAGCTTTTCAGGGAGGTCCGGAATGTCATTGATGTAAGAGTTGCTGTTGACAAGCGAACTGGCCAGCCAAGAGGTTTCGCACACGCCGAATTTATCTCTACAGAGGATGCTATCAAAGCAAAGGAACAGTTGACTGGTAAGGAATTGTTTGGACGCGAGCTAAGACTTGATTTCAGCACAGGCGTTCGTGGAACCCCAAGCACAAGCAGCTCCTAAGTTGTGATAAGATTTGGGCAGTGATCGAAAAACTCAACGAGAGCAGTGTATTGATAGAAAGGCAAAAGACTTTGCACGAAGACTTTAGTATCTTTGGTTGTCACTGTCTAACGAAGAACTCTCGCACTAATGAATCTTGTAAGATTACAATCCACACGAAAGGCGTGTCGGTAGTTTTAAAATAAATATTTGTAAATTTAAAACCTTAAATCAATTTATTGTAGGAACTAAAGAGCTAGATCTACGGAGGAAAAACAATAAAACAATCTTCACTCCTTAGTTTGCTAAGAAGTAATCACTAAGAAACCTTCATGATTTTACAGAAAATCAACAGGCGTGTCATGCTGATCTCAACATGAGTTTTTGCGATATTGGTACTAAGGCAATGACACGCTCGAAACTAACATAATTCTACTTATATGTATGATGTCATTCAAGTATTTGGCTACGTAGGATCGTGAAGATCCTTTTCGCCAATAGGCCATAAGTATCTACGACTCTGGTAGTGCATACGATTCCTTGCGCCTTCAGATAATATCTGATGTGATACCTCCACAGGATATCATTTGAGTACACAATCAGTGGAGCTGGTATCCCGTCATTATCCTCCTTCTACAGTTAAGAAAATATAGCTATTAACGGATGTGTAGATACGGGGAAACTCCTTGTGAACAATTGGGTCAGGGGCTCTCATAATACCGACTTTAGGACATACTCAAGGGCAATGCTAACTTTTTAAATCGTCCCGAGAGAGTAGCCAGGCGGGTGCAGCAGATCTGTGTACCGAAGAGCATCTCTCAAACTTCCAAGCCTCCTCTTTAACCCCCCTGAATCATGCCGCAGGGCAAATCGAAGATCGTGAAAGGAAGTCAAAAGAGACTCGGTCGAGGGTGAGTGGCGTTAAGAAGCCTAGCCTAGCATCCAAAAGTCGTTGTGGATGTAGAGTTGTCGAGTAACTCGTGTACGTAAGGTTTCTGCCTGGCTAGTAGATTCGAATCATGAGATAGAAGAGACGGTAAAATTTACGAGACTGAGCCTGCTTTTATTGAGGGCGAATAAGTGTTGGAATTTCGCATTTGTTGCATACTCTAGAGCTACACAATTGTCGGTGATGATGGGCAAGGCTGCTTAGGAATAACTTGGCGCACAATTGCACTAGACTGAAATTGATTTTAGCGTCAGACAAAGAACACGAGTAATATGTAGAAACCTGGATATACATTCTTTACCATTCCGGCGTATAATATAATATAATAAGAACGATCTACGTGAATAATTTATTTGATTGAACTATCACGAAGTACTTTGAAGCTGTGCCTATATTCTTTGAGTGAGTTTCCTCTTAGAACCCATACACACTTTCTAACAAAAAGTCTTCTTATTAACGCGGGATCCATGTTCGCCCGCCGGTGGATAGCTCATGTTGTTTTGTGAGCAAAGTTTCTTGCGACTCTATTCCCACATTCCTTACGCAGTAGACATGTATGCGAAGTAAAATAGCTGTACCACAATGCCAATCGGCCTTACAGAGGTGAAAAATAGATCTGCGGATAAGCCAGCTATCTTACTATGTATCGTAGACTTGTGAGCTCATACAGAGCGTCACACTTCTCTGAATACTGTTGTAGAGTTTAGTACCGAAATATCTTCCCTCGTTCGCAGCATCATCATTGTCGTCTCCATTATGCAATGTGTTTTCGGAAGCGTATCTTCGAGGGAGGGGAAGATGTTTAGACCACATTTGAAATGATGTTACTCAATCTCGGCTCTGCAGACTCTACAGTGGGAGCCGGAGGTTCACGAGTGACACAACAGGCAGGTGTTCAGAATAGTCTCTAAACTTACTGAGAGTCGACTGTTTGTATACAAAGCATACTTCAGTGGTACTTGAATACGAAATCTAGAGTATGAATATCTCTGAAGTCTGATGAGTCAACATATGAGCAATGCACTTATGACATGCCATAGCCAAGTAACTATTTGCATGTTGAATGGTTAAAAATAACGCGCTGAGTCTAGGATGTTGTAGGGAAATATCTGAGGAGAAAAATAGTTACCTCCATCTTCGAATCATTCCTTGGGAGTTTTGAAGAATTGACCTGTGATGGCCCTTAATGTCTTGTTCTGTACTTTGTAATATAACATGTGGATGAGGAGCACCTAGGCTAAGAGGGAAGCAATCTTTGACCATCTCATCCACGTGACGTAAAGTAGAGGAGGGAAGCTGAATTCAATTACTCCTGGAGGCATTATAAGTCGACTGGGTCGATCTAAGGTGACATCAACTGGTTGGAGCCCGGTTTCCATCTATATTTTGAAGAGTTTTCACTAATTAAAATAAATGCAAGAAATCTAACTACATCATTTGGCATCGAGATACCAACACGAGATCTGCTTACTATGAAATTTGAGTTCTGGTGTTTATTGAGTTATGCATACTCGTACTTGCACTCTTCAAAGGTGATGTATGTTCTGGTAACCTTTGGTTTGAGTTCTCGATACACTTTTCAACGTGTCATATCTGGGTTTAGAAGTTGATAATTTTCAAAGATGTCTCCTCATTAAGAGAGCTGTAGAAGTCGGTAATTCATGATTTCTAGAGAATTAAATCCTAAAAAGATGATAATCAAGTTTTGTAAAAATTCAACTAATCTAAGACGTACCTGGCATTCCTTTCGCAAATAAAAGATTTGGTTCTACCAACTAAATGCATTTAGCGCAAGCTCTGATCGGTCTAAGTATACAGCCGAGAAAATGCACCTAAAACGTCGAGGCCAAAGATGCCAACTACTTGCACCATCTAGTCCCGATCAATCGCGTAACTAGCCCTGGCAACTAGGATATGTTGAACCTTACATACCCTGTCCTGGCCCACCCTTACAGTTCCTTGAGACGAACCTCAATGTTACCATTTCAACACCTTCTTCGTTGATATAACAATATTATTTCGAAGTCTTCCCCCTTAGTAAAACACAATTTATTCCCGAGAGACAGGTAGCAGCCGTCTCGTCCAGCTAAAAATTTCAACTCATGTCTTTCCTGGGCGGTGCAGAATGTTCTGCAGCAGCAAACCCACTACGTCAATTTGTGAAGCATACTCAAGATGACCAAAGCTTACAGAGAGATAGACTAGTTGGTAATTCAGCAAAGAGTTTGCAAGGTATGAGAAGTATCAGTGGTATAGACTCGACTAGAAACCAGGATACAGTAGGTTAAGATTAAGAAGGCTCCATACCAAAAAAGACCGGACTGGGCTGATAAAAGCACAGCTCCTGAATGAGTTCCGGCATCAAAATGGTCCGCTTTCATCAGAGATATTTGCTCTACAGCAGGATCAGCCACACACTCAAACTATGCGAATTGGCCCACCTTCACTGAGCGCGCATGGCTGGGCCCAAGAATTTGTGCCTGGTATAGATACTCAGACGCGGATGGAGTTTTCTAACTCAACGCCTACTCTGAGTGGCCTTAGTCCGGCCGACTTTGTGGCGTTTCAACAGACGAAGAGCGGTACTCCAATGATGTCCCATGTCAAGGAGCACCAAGTCGGTGATATGTACTCATCTTATTTTAATTCACAGATGGATATGGGTGGTATGGGCCGAAATATGGGAATGGGAATAGGTCTGGGTATGGGTATGAATGCAGGCGCTGGCTACATGTCACGAGCACAATTTCAAAATCAGGGAAATTTCCAACAGCAAGATAAAGGCAAGGGAAAGATGGTTGAATTAGACGATGAGCATTGGGAGGAGCAGTTTAAAAAGATTGATTTGGAAGGGCGTCTGCGAGATGATGCTGCGTTGACTGACGAAGCAGACGTGAACCAGGTAGATCAAACTGATCATGAAACTGAAACTAATGAGTTTGGTGATTTTGAATCCATATGGAAAGGTATATTATCTGAAGCTGCAGTCGCTCAAGAACTCTCGAAAAATGATATGGGCATAGACGAAGACTCCGGTGATTTGGAACAATGGGGAGCAGGACTACAGACGCCTTTCCGAGATCCGCAGCTCGGAGATTACATGTTTGAGGAAAATAATATGTTTAAAGAGATATCCAATCCATTTGAAGAGGGGGTACGGATTGTGGAGGCTGGTGGTAATCTCTCATTAGCAGCTTTAGCCTTTGAGGCTGCTGTCCAAAATGAGCCCGATCATATTGACGCCTGGGTAATGCTAGGCTCTGCACAAGCACAAAACGAGAAAGAAACACCAGCCATACGGGCATTAGAGCAGGCCTTGAAGCTAGATCCTGCTAATCTATCAGCGCTTATGGGCTTAGCAGTAAGCTATACCAACGAAGGTTATGATAGCACTGCGTACCGGACCCTTGAGCGCTGGTTGTCCTATAAATATCCCAATATTGCTCCGTCAGATAGATCTCAGCCACTTCAGTCCGATGTTGGGTTTACAGATCGTTTCGCCTTGCACGAAAGAGTAACAGAGCTATTTATAAATGCCGCGCAGCTCTCGCCAGATGGGGAACATATGGACCCAGACGTACAAGTTGGACTTGGAGTTTTATTTTATGGAGCTGAGGAGTACGAAAAGGCGGTTGATTGTTTCTCAGCAGCTCTCGCAAGCACAGATAGCGGTACTAGCAATCAGCAGGATCAAATTCATCTCTTGTGGAATCGCCTTGGGGCCACACTTGCCAATAGCGGTCGTTCGGAGGAAGCCATCACAGCCTATGAGAAAGCGCTTACCTTGCGCCCAAATTTTGTTCGAGCGCGCTACAATCTTGGTGTTTCGTGTATTAATATTGGCTGCCTAGAGGAAGCAGCGTCGCACCTTCTCGGTGCACTCGCCATGCACAAAATTGTCGAGAACGAAGGCCGTGAGAAGGCCCGAGACATCCTAAATGGCAATGGCAATCTAAACGAGGCAGAAATCGAGAGAATGATACATCAAAACCAAAGCACCAATCTCTACGATACCCTGCGTCGCGTCTTTAGCCAGATGGGTCGGCGAGATTTAGCGGATCGTGTGGCAGCAGACATGGATATTGAAAGCTTTCGTGCCGACTTTGATTTCTAGGCTCTACAGTGCTCAACTGGCTGATTGTTACTGCCCGCCCTGAGTTGGACCCGACAGATTCAGCGGGAAAAGAGTCACAGTGACCGTTATAGCCACGATTTTGGTTTTATGGGCCTCGCGGGTGGCCAGACGGATGGGATGAAGTTCTAACGGGCCGAGCGCATACGCCCATGCGGTAGCCTTCGCTCTCTGGTAGGATAGATGTAATTAATCGAGTATTTTTACCTGAGCTCTCGCATACTCGACATCATAAACACTCAATGGTGGCACGGCCTCCATAACCCATCTACACATTCATTCCTTGCCCAATTGCAACAAGAAACGGATATGCCAACGTGATTTCTTGGACTCAAATTACCCTGTACCATAATTCGTAGAGAACATCGCTCAAATGAAAGAGGCGAATATAGGGACATGGCACGTTTACGACAGATGGTCCCAAAAGTATTTGCGCTTGGCCATCAAGGCAAAACTGATGACGTAGAAATATTTTGAATTGTGAGACTGTGATCTGGGCCATCCTCAGCTGGCAGCCATCACGAGTCGCGAGTATCCTCTGGCTTTGGCTGGACTGGGCTTTTTTGGCAGAATAAGATGCCAGCACGACTTATTATAAAATTTAAACTAGGAGGTAGGCTGTGGAAAGACAGCGAGAGCGCACAGCGGTAGCTTGAAGGAAATTGATGATTACAGGGAAAGGAATCCACGCTAGGCGCCTCACTGAGAAACAAATAGCCAAAACCAGACAAGATACACCCAAAATTAAAGCCAAACTTCCGTCGCAACCTAGAGGGCGCGGCCCTCGGCCATATTTTTCCGTAGCCGATCAAAGTAACCCTGTGGCCAGACTTTCAACAGCTCGGCATCAGTTGGCGTCTTATTTTTGAATTTAGCGCCAACGTTGAGGAGAATGCGTCCCAAGAGCTCCTCTGTCATCGGTACTACTCCCACTTCAAACTCTGTGGGATAGAGGAAAGGATCACTGAGTTGGAGTAGCTCGGGGGCTGATGGTCGTTGATGTTGGTCTCGGTTGAGACATCTCTTGAGAGTGTGGACAAGAGAATTAGGAATAGAAATATTGCCCACACCCAAAGCAGGGTATTCAATTGCGTATTTATGATCAATGATAGCGTGGCATCGTTGCATCTGATTCTGGATGTGACTGAAAGGAGCACGACCGTAGGTCATTTGGTAAAGGATACAGCCAAGACTCCATATATCACTTGGCTTTCCAAGCTTCATAAGTTTTGGAGCATTGGCAATATATCCCCTGACATCAGATTTAGCGTTAGAGTCGATGAGAGATTCCGGTGACATGTAATTAGGCGTGCCGATCTGGGTATCTCGATGCACGTTGACAGTTTCGTCTGTTTGAATAGCATTTGCAATGCCAAAATCAATGAGCTTTAATCGACCTTGTACAAGGACAAAATTATGAGGTTTCAGGTCAGAATGTACAATATCGTGATCGTGTATTGCCTGTAGACATTCTAGCATTTCTTTCCAATAATGCCGGACAAAACTAGGATCAAACTTGGCGTTCTCAGACTTCAATCTCACTTCGAGAATTTTGTTGAGATCTAGCTCGCCCATTTCCATGAGCTAAATTTTGTTAGTTATTTGAAATGAATGTACACCTTGAAAAACTACTCACAACTGTAAGGACACCTTTATCCTCGTTCAATTCATAATCGTATAGTCTAATAACCCTTTCTACGCTTTCCAGCTTCCGTAGTAAGTCAATCTCGCCTTTGAAGCCTTGGACCGCACTTTCGTCGGCATTTTCAAGCGAGACTTTCTTTAGAGCAAAAAATTTTGAGTTCTCTGCCATCACACGATAAACCCTCGAGCTACCTCCGCGTCCGATACAGTCCAACCGGGTAAATGCCTTGCCGTTTATCTTTAACCGATTCCTTTTGGATGAGGCATTAGAAGTGGTTGCAGCTCCAGCAGTAGATGTGGCTGTCTCAAGAAGAGTCATTTTTGGTGGTGGTGGTGCGGGCCTCCGAGGGGTATTTTCACTCTTAGGGGCCAGTGGTTGACGACGAATAGGTGAATCTACGCGATTTGATTGTAGCTTCAAGCCGTCAACTTGAGCCTGAACCTCTTCCATCTTGCTTAAGTGCATGAGACTAACTGGCTGTTTTCGTTTGAAAGTTGGGGGCGCTTCATTTTCTTGATTTTGTTTCGAAGGTAGAATTGGCCGCAAGGATGGTATATTATAAATTGGCTGTGCAGGTAGCTGAGAGACTGCTGGTTGTAGCGGGGCTGGACGTGAACAAGAATAAATCTCGGGTGAAGGTGATTTAGACCGCCTGATTATACTGGGAAGAGGTTCATTTGCACTCAATGGACTTCCAGAGCGGTAGCGAGACTTTAAAATTGGCCTATAATTTGTTTGTAATTCTTGTATTTGGGCTTCATTGAGTGCTTGTTTTTCTGGCTGGTTAACTTCCAGATTTTGTGATTTGAGACTCAAAGGCATATCGATTTCCTCCGCTGGACTATGATTTTCATCGCTTACACGTCTCCTTCCCCTCCTTGGTCTGATACTCATAAAGGCCCCAGCAACTTTTTTCACACCAGCGTCCTCTCCGTATCTTGTACGCCCAATTGTAGATAATCCAATATTTACTTGAGATGCCTGATTTCCTGCAGGGTTCTGTCGAGTAATTGTTGATGGATTTTCTACAAAGCCTATTTCCGCTTCTTCCGGCTGCGGTGCTGAATTTTCTGGACCCGAGCGTCTTCCAGATGAAACTGGTAGCCTAACTGTTCTCTTGGGGGCAGGTGCTGGCGTACTGAGGTCAAGTGGCCAACCTGCTGGGCCTTCTAAGCATTTTGCACCTATTACTTCGTTTGGTTGAGCTGCTATGGATACTGACTTTGATCTTTGGATTACTGAAGATCCAGGGGTCCGACTTAATCGGACTTTGCGCTTTGGATAACAGTTAGGCTCCCTGATTATAGATGGCGACGGTCTCTCGTCCACTAAATCAACACTTCCTCCCCTTACTTGCGCAATTTCAGCAGCCAATTCTGGCGTGGCTCTCTTATGCTCGGAAGCGCTCTTGTCTGTGCCGGCATAACCGCCATCGAGGAGCGCATTTGTTAGAGCACTACACTTGAAAATAGGTACCGGAATTTCGTCATCTGAGCTGTCCCCTAAGCTGTATGGTTTTGGTGATAATTCTTTGGATCCTATTGAACGCGTCTTTGGGTATTTATTTTCATGTGTCGACCTATTAACTTGATGGTATGGTTGTGAGGCGAAATATGAGTTGCTCATTGGCGTTGGCGATGCAAGTGACATGTGTGTGAAATGTTATCAATATTGTCGTGATATTAGTTTCGTGCATTCACATTTGAAGCAAAACTTCAGCGATGTGGGCGAATTCCCTCCTTTGTCGATCAATGCTAGTTGCAATTAGCTGGTTGTGTAGTTGCGATGAGTTGACATCAAGACTCCAGGCGGTGGACGTTGTTCCATAGCACATAAACTTTGTTGTTCTTCTTGTCCGTTGATTGGGCAACGAATTAATGTAATCCTTGTTCAGATCCCTTTCCCTTCATGGAGCCTAATATCAAGACACTGAATATATACACTGAATTAGAATTTCCCATTTGTTGCTCTCCGATTAATTAAATGTCTTGGCATAATGTGAATTCAAGTCAGAGCAACTCCGTTCTGCATCGCTTAGGATTTATCCTTATCAAGTCCTAGTTCTACAATGCAATGTGGGACTCAATCCAAACTATCGGGTATCCACGAACGAGTCTCGGCTACAGAAATATATACCAGGTAGGGACACGGGCATTGGCACCCAGGGCAAGAGATTCATTTGATACGCGCACAATACGCTGGTCGATTATTTTAGTCAAACCACTATAGAAATAATAGATGCTTAATCAATTTAAATACCTTAATCACTTGACCTCATAAAACCAGTATCTTAATACTAGCTCGGTCTTGTTAGTGTTAAATGTGCTCTGTGAGCCCGTGACTACGCAGAATATTATGCCACTCTCTAATCTAGCCCGCGCCTTGTATAGTTATACTACCATCTTTTTTTATAAAATATTACCTATGATATCAAGGCACAATGAGTATGATTACAAAATCTCACTAGATATATCGAATTTAATACCCAAATAAGGAATCCTTGCATGCGCACAGATGAACTTTTGAATCTACGTCAGTGGTATCTTAGACGCAGCTGGAAGTGAGATGTAACAAACGCCACATCCTACGCAAACTTCCAAGCACGAACGACACTATCCCGTCATAAATTGATTCAAAATTTTTAGAAGTATTCTTCTTATTTTCATCCTAAGAGATCCTGAAACTGATCCAAGCCTAATATTGAATGTAGCGTTATCTGGTGATGCTCTGTTCCGCGATCATGATTTTCGTAGATTTGGTCTCTTAGTATTGTTGCCCCACATGTAGTCATCTATGACACTTTAAATACCTAATAGAAGCCCATAATTGCAGAGAAAAATCTAGTTAGGCGAATCATAAAGATAAAAGTGAGATATCAGCGGACACAGACGAAATTTGCCGCTAAAGACAAAATCTTCATCTTCCAGTGGTGCCGTTATAATCGCTCAGTATGCTTGGCATGCTCTGCATATCTGGGAAAGCCCAGAAGAATCGCATCCGAATCGAAGTCGAAGGCAACCTCATTCATATCTAAAATCGTCGACTTGTCGTCAATGTTTGATCTATCATGCTCATGCGAGTCCTCTACTTCAAACTTACTTCACCACCTCGCCTTAGCTACTGATAAAAGCATTAATCCAATTGTAATCGTGAATTTGCCTCTTTAAAGACAGGCCATATCCCACTACAAAGTTACGAAGTTGTGCATACTCGCGAGGAGGAAATTAAGTCATAATCTACAAAGCTCGGGTCTTGGTCTATGGGGGACCGTTGCTCTAATGGGGCTCCACATCTTGAGGCAGGACAGGCAGCTGGAACGTGGGACGAACGAGTTAAGAGGTCACAAATCGGCATGCTGGGACGCACATTTTTCGAGTGTCTTCGACTTAAGATTGTCTATGAATGCAGAAGCAACGATTTTGGATTGTGCAACCGACAAAATAAAAATTGGCAACGACGGAAGTTGTTTTGGTCCGCCTCCTGGTCATCACATCCCCGAATCAAAGTCTGGGTAGCCTGGATACCTACATCACACGAGAAAGGGAGGACTGTGAGGCCATATCTCGCGCGGCGGCTATATATAAGATGGCAAAGGCATGTTAGGGTAGCCAAAGGTTTTTCTTGTTTTCCCTTTGGTGGATATTAACGGTTGAGGGAAGGGTAAAAGCCCCTAGCACCAAGGTCTCGCGTGGTATCAGCGAATGCACCCACTACATGACTAGTCCAAATATCAAACTGAGTTATCATCGTTTATAGTCGTCATGGAAGGACTAGCTTTCTCAGTATCATGCTCAATAAGTGCTAGGCTTATGCCTGACATGAATAAATATTCATTCGTTCATTCTTTTATAAACGAGGTTCTATCGAGGGTGAATCTCTCCACGAATAGGGAAGTGATTGGATCTCTGTACCATAATCTCAACTTTGAAGAGAACCATGCGCTGTAAAGCTTCATCTAAAAAATTATAACTGACTGTATAAAGTCGACCTAGATGTCGCCGCGTCCTATCATCTGTATTTTGCTACTCCAAGTAGAATTTGGCTAATCTAGACACTTACCTCACACAAGATGGGAAACCTTGAAGATTTATTTTGTCGCAGTAATATTCCGCAGTAAAATATAGTTATCCAGAAATAATTGGAGCATCCTATCGTCACTTCTTCAAGCGCACACTAAAGATTGGTGAAAGAGTAAGAGGCCTAGCTCTGTCTTGCGCGGTAGTAACCACTACATTCAAACCGTGTATGTGCTGTCAGAATTGTATCATCTTCTTAGATTCAGAATATCCAATCAAGGACTCTTTGAGGTATTTCAGAAAAAGAGATTGAACTCTATAGTTAAATACTGAGCTGAATTGGTATCTATCATGGCTAATATGTCAGAAATATTTTGTCGTAACAAAAGGGGATGGGAACACTTTACAAGTTGTGGTTTGGACCATAGAGGAGCCCAATATGCCAGATAATCTATGATCCAAGCAGTACTTTAAACTAGACTCTCACTCACCGTGGGAAAGAAGCTGTAAATGAAGCATAGGAGGGTGACGCTACCGGAGGCAGAAAAACCTACATGTCCATACACAGTTATTGACTGACTAGGATAATAATCATCATCCAATACCTCTAAAGACAAAACAGGCAACGGAGAGATAACAATAATGCCCTCTTTCATACAGATTAGACTCTGATAGACACTTGAATAGGGTTAGAGAGTTAAATAATGTGGTCATAGCTCCATCACATCGCGTGCGTGAGTGCATTAAAATAAATGTGTTTGAACTTCTAAGGTCGTGACCACTTATATCATTAAACCGCAAAAATTGTGGCAGCAGATTGCAAAATGAAAGACCAAGCTGGTGTAGCCCCACCAGAGATTGTCTCACTGGAAGAAACTTCATTTCCTTCAATAAAACCAAATATTTTATCATCTGGTGCATCCTATGTACACTTTTCAGATGTGCCACCCTATCTCCTAGGCGACGAGACTTTACAAAAGTATGAATCACTGTCAAGCCTGGGTCCAGAATGTATGTTAGGAATCGATGAAGCCGGTCGTGGACCAGTCCTAGGACCCATGGTGTACGGAATTTTTTACTTGCCTTTGACACTTTCAGACTCATTACTACGAAAAAAACACCGATTTGATGACTCAAAAGTATTAACTCCAACTTTTCGTCTCAATCTGATGCGTCAAATATGTACACCTGAAACGGACTTGTTCCGCCAATGCGGATGGGCTGTTGACGTAATTTCTGCACAAGATATTAGTTCAAACATGTTTAAGCCAACGGGAGCTTACAATCTGAATGCCCAAGCTATGGATGCGACGATTTCCTTAATAAAGGGCGTTTACGAGAGAGGAGTTAATGTTAAAGAGATCTATATTGACACAATTGGAAATCCCGAGACATACCAGAAAAAACTGGAAAAGATTTTTCCTACCGCAAATATTACTGTTGCTAAAAAAGCAGACAGTCTTTACCCCTGTGTTAGCGCAGCCAGTGTATGTGCAAAAGTAACAAGAGATGTTGCACTAGAGGTTCTCTACAATAACTTTATAATGGGTAAGGCAGGAGAAAATGCAATAACTAATGAGGCCGAATTGTCTTGGGGATCAGGTTATCCATCGGATGCGAAGTGTACTTCATGGTTAAAAAAAAATATTCACCCAGTATTTGGCTGGGGCAACGAATGTCGATTTAGCTGGGGAACTGTTAAAGATCTATTAGATCAGAAAAGCTTGGCCGTGAAGGTTGACTGGCCCGATGAACCGGAGGAGTTAGATACGAGTCGATTGACTGACTACTTTAATAATACGAATGGGAAAGATACGGATGAGTTGGCAACATGGTTTGGGACACCTGTTGGAACAGAGTTTTTCTGATGTATCTCTGCCCGTTTAAATGGTATGCAACAATATTGAAAATCAACAACTAAATTATCACTAGCTCCAGTATTATGATGTGATTCTGGAAGGCACATCCAAGCTACAAGAGAGAATACTACGAAGTATTTTTGTCTTGAGAAAACTTATCTTACGCTTAAAGCCGAAAAATTAATTCAGGTAGCCTATAGGAGACCCAAAATTTGGATTGAAGATAAATATACAACATTAAAGCTTTGGACTCATGATTCCAGAACTGAAGCGCTGCTTAAAGAAGACACCCGTCATAATCGGCACGATTTGAGGGCTGATTTTCGGCATTATACCGAATATCGCTATATCTAGCTTGCCTTCATTCTTATCGTAACACTCAAACTTAATTTTGTTTCACAATGTATTATGTAAAGATAGATTACGAAGATGAATTACGAAGACATATCTAAGCGCTACGCTGCCCATCGAAAGTAATACTAAGGAAAGTGACTTTTTGAATAATTTTGCATTCATCCAGCTATCTAACTATGTCTAAGATATTTATGAGATCAATCATACATAATTTATTTTGCGTATATTCATAGGAACATTAGTCATCTACACCCCGAGCCAGATCGAGAGGATTGGCTTAAATACTGAATTCAATTTATGGATTTTTCCACGATGAGCAGTAATACGAAATCATTTGGTATAATATTTTGATTCAGCCGAACCGATCATTTTTGAGGTCTTAGCATCTGACTAGATGACTGGATTTAGAATAATATTTTGAAAATTTTTTCAATCATCTTCTAGATTCATATAACTATTTACAGCTGCATAGGACAGTATTTGTTTGGATTATACTAAACTTAGTATTATGCAAAGAAACTAGGATAGATTCTAGGCTCATTTTTCTACTCTTGGAGGCATTTCTTAAGCTTACAGTTTATCATGTTAGGAGGCGACCACGTCAAATGTGTGATGTGGTGATACATGAAAGCAAACTTGTGAAAGCGTACGTCTGGGCTTAGTCCAAAGATGAAAGCACAATATGATTGCAAGAATTGGACCAATGACGAGACTCAGGGGCGTGAATATGGAGAGGATCATATATTTAGTCCTACGATAAGATTTGTTTTATATGTACATAGTCCTAGTGGGCCAATGGCTATCAGGATATATAGATCCTTGCTGCCTACTGGGCGGGAGAATATACTCTTTCACAACTTCGTTTCCGAGGCAATACCCCGTAGGCCTTCGTTCAAGTGTACACTAAGAGGAGTCGTTTTCCAGTCATTTTCTCCCCTGTTGATCCAACGAAATGAAGGCCATTTTTGGATGAATGGGAGCAGGTGAGAGTCGCAAAAACCACTGGGTGCGGGGCTCTTCTGATACTGACATCAGGACTAACTCCGAAGGGATAGTGAGCCTTCAAAAGTGATTGATAAGGCCGACCAGCTGAGTACTGCAGACTTGTGGGTACCTCGGCAAATTTACTCTCTGCCTTTCTAGTCTCCTTCCAACTCTTTCCCGAGGGGGAATATTCTCAACACTTGTCAGTGGTGGCCCCTACAAACCTCCAGCTCTCACTGTAGAATATGCAGAGCCGAAAATGAGTAACAAAGGCCACACTTCGGTGAGGATTCCCAATAGCTTTCGTTGTCTGTATCATCTTCATCACTAAGCACATTCCCCTATCATCTTTATCATGAAGTAAACCACGATCAGATCAGATGGAAGGGTTGGAGCCCTTCTCATCACCAACCCTTGATCATGGAGGAAAATCCATCCGATGAGTTTCCGGAGCGTACCCAGCACCCGATACGGAGATGGCGGATTGGATCAAGTCGACCTCGACTGCTATAAAGAAGGGAGATATAGATGAATATGCGCACCTCATGTAGTCCCGGTGTCTAGGCCCCGCCTGGCTGGGGCTGCAGATTTTATTGGGACTTTTTCCCGCGCACGTAGTTTCCATTGCTACCATATTTTATTTTTTTTGGGTAGAAGGTTCCGTGAGAGAGGTGGGTGAGATCCACGGGTAAACACTCAGCTGAATGGCTATTCATTACGTACAATGTATCAATGTATCAATGTATCAATGTATCAATGTATCAATGATCTTACAAATAACAAAAGAGGATAGGAGCATTATACAAAGTGTTGCATGGACCGGAGAGGAGCCTAATGTGCTAGATAGTCTATGACTCAAGTAGTACAATAAACATACCTCTCTTTCAAATACATCTTTTCTTTTTCTTTTTAATTGGGAGTTAGAGCTCACTGTAGTTAGCCCTGTTTATCCTTCCGTAACCAATCTATCTTACATTCCCAAGGCTGCCTCTCTGCCATCCTCACACTTCGTGACTTGTATCCTACCCCCCCCAAGTACCTTCTTTTCATGTTGTATTCAGCTATCAAGCCATGACTACCGTGCCGTATTATGTGGTGAAATAAAGGTCCCACCTCGGAGATGGTTACTGACATGGACTTCATCAAAACTGATTGCGATAGAATATGATAAGTCTTGATTCATTTCGTTTTTTGGGAGGTTCAGTCTGTTACGTCCAATTCTCAACTGATCGAAGCTCGAATCTGGCTCACTGCTAGCCGAACATGATTTAAGTGGACAAAGCTTGGAGCAACCTTCTCAGCTTTAAATCAAGATTGTGTTTCTCGCAAAATTAGAGGGTTCAATTACTGAAAAGTAATCCGGATCTCCGGAAAATGGAGTAATATTAGACAGATCATTTTTTGTTGCATCAGATTTTAGTTGCATATGCAGCTATGTAGCTATGACATAATATCAAAAAAAAATGCAGAAAAGATGACTCAATTTACAAGAGGAGCACTCATGCCTCAGATTTCATTTGCAAGTACCACTGCGAAGTTATGTATATATGTATGAATTTCGTATCAGGCAAAAAGCTCTACACCCAAGAGGCATGATACGGGTGTGTGATCCCTAAAGACTCACTACTACCTATCTGTCCAGCTTTCTACGCCGATTGATTACATGAAAAGAAAGGAATAAAGAAAATTGCCTGACAAAAAACGCCCTGCGCCTTGCCCACTTTCATATTTAACTGCTAAAGATATTCCAGTCTCTCGGAAACGTTTAGTCCTCTAAATGTGAAAATTACCCCGCGTAGCATCTCATTACGGTTACGTACTTATAGAATTACTTCCATCCGTTTTCTGTCAACATGACTCGACTTCTTGGTGGTGGTTCATGTCTGGATATTCTCCATTATCGCAAGGCCGTTCGGCACTCTGCAAAGTGCCAAGGACGTTTTTCCCTTCCGCAGACGTATCTATAGTCTATATTTTCATGCCCGAATCTGTCATGGTAACCCTTGAAATCTCTGTGTCCTGTCCTCGCTGCTATTAGACGATGGTATGCCCATCTCGGCAGTCCAAGCTCGGGTGGTCGTTTCCGCCTCATTAGAAGGTCTAGTTCTTCGTATCGTCTTGGTCTGTTTTGAAGCCACCAGGATTCTAAAGCTTCCTCGGCCTGCTCTCGGACGAGTCGGTACAGCGCTGCAAAGGTATATGTCTGCTCACCCCTTAAGTCTAATAGGTCTCTCAGGGCTACCTTAACCAATTTTCCGCCTGCTCATTCCCGGTAATCCCACTGCGAAGTTATGGTGGCTTTTTCTTCACCCCTAGTCAACCCTCATCCATGAATACCCACCCAAGGGAACATTTCAAAAACCCTGAGTTATCCAGAAATGCCTCTGTCATCCATCAACTTTTCTCCGCGTGAAATGTAATCTGAGATGTCTCCTTCCCAAGTGGAGTAGGTGCCTAGGCTACTCAAACTATACCAGAGAACACCACCAGGAGGCGGACCACAACACCTTCCATCGTCTGCTTGTTTTTACAGTGTCAGCTACACTCTCGCAAGCAAGGTCTTGGCGCGCACAAATCTCAATCCGTAAAACTCTTGCCAAAATTCAAAATTTCACGCCCTTCGAGGTTATATATCCTTCCTTTGAATCATCTTGTCAACTTGACCTAATCCCTCTCACGTCCATCCCAAAGAGCTGTCTCCCAGATTTGTGCTCCACGCTTTGTTTCCTCCGTCGGGTATAAATATCGGCGTGGGCGTGTATTTGGTGACCGGCTGAGGCCAGAGAAAGTCGACGAGAGGTGTTGTAATTGAAACGAGGATGTACTAGGTCATACTTGTAGACTTGATGAAGCTTAGTTGAGAATCGGACTCTTTGGGGTGAAAGATTGACGTGGTGGAGTATTTTGAATCATTGCCTCGGGGGCTAACTTCTTTGGTATTGCGAAATTTGACTGAACTTGGCTCTGGGAGAATATTTCACTCCCAGGTTCGTAGAGGACCCCGCGTACAGGTGTTCAGTCTTGCCCTCCATTCAACAGGATATACAGCTGCAACGAATGAAAATAAATGTTTCACAAAATACGACCTAATTTATAAAAAACTTATATAATTTTAACCCTAGGAATATGCTTGTGATAAAAAATCACTCAAGATCCAAAAAATCCAGAACTGTAGCTCAGTTCTGTATGAATCGATAATAATATTGCAATATTGCTGCCTGTTCGTGCATATATGCTTGGAGTTTGGTCCTCAGGGCACACTTCGGTCCGCCGTAGAGAACTAGGAATTGCACGTCATAGATAGATGTGTCGGACTTGTGAGAATCCCTGTACTGTTGAATCATTCTGCCACACCGCAACCTTCAAATGACAGATTTAGTTTACGTCCTTCCGGATTTTCCAGTGAATCAACACGTGCGGATTCTCCCGTGTATAGAACTTCACCATATAACGACTGTTGATCTTATTACACTCGACTGCCTTGAGATAGCTAAACGTACTCGACTTCCTGTTCTTGACGTAAAGAAGCTCCGCGATGCTATCTTAACAGCTTTAAAATCAAACCTGGGGCTTACGGGGGTGCAAGAGCCTCGTAGTGACTCTACGCCTCTGCGAAAAACTGGCAAGCAAGTTGTAGATAGCTGGAAAACCATCAGTCTATTAGATGATAACATAGACCGTGCATTGATGGGAGGCATTCCCACTGGTTCTATTACTGAGATCACGGGCGAGAGGTATTACCTAGCTCTGGCTTTTTATTTCATAAAATTTCTTACAATGTTACAGTGGTGCAGGCAAGACCCAGTTCCTTTTAATCCTTCTTCTTGCTGCTCAGTTACCAGAACCTCAAGGGCTCTCTTGCGCTACCTTATATATTTCCACCGAATCTCCCCTCCCGGTGACTCGAGTTAGACAGATGCTTCTTTCTAACCAAGCATTTACTTCGGCAGCTTGCAAGCCTTCTCTCGATCGTATCATCAGCATTGTAACATCTGATCTAGAGTCACAAGATCATATAATATATTTTCAGGTCCCGGTAGCAATAAAACGATATGGAATCCGCCTAGTAGTCATTGACTCTGTAGCTTCAAATTATCGTGCCGAGTTTGATCGAGATCCAAAATATGGGGCTAACATGGCACAGAGAAGCGCAGATTTACTTAAGCTCGGTCGTTTCCTTCAAAATCTAGCACGAGATATGGATGTTGCTGTGGTCGTATCGAACCAAGTATCCGATCGTATAACTGAAAGATTCTATGGAACGAATATTTCTAAATTAGAACCAAGACCAGTCGACCTCACATCAGCATTGCCAAGTGATAAAACCCCATTATCGAGGAATTCTGAAGTCAGTAATAGTCAGGTGGATAAGACTGAGCCAAAAATTATTTCCAGAGACACTCAAGGCATCATGTCGCTCGATCATCAACAGCGATGGTTCACTGGCTGGGGAGATGAGCCACCATCTGAAATCAGGTCTATAACCAACGTAAAAACACCAAGTTTAGGCTTAATCTGGACGAATCAAATCGCTTGCAGGATTGCGTTGCTTAAAACCCCAGTTTTCGGCCCGGGTCTTCAATTCAATGACGGAAACGAGGAAGGAGAACCAAATTTGAAGAAGTGGGATCGCTGGCTAAAAGTTGTCTTTGCCAGTCATGCCCCAGAGAGCGGAATAGGTATCACTTCTGCGGTTAAATTTGACATTAAAGAATGCGGTCTCCAAGCCGCCAGTAATGGATAGTTTGATGGGGCGATTGTAGATACCAATCGCTCAACTAATAGAAATTGGATCCAACGTTGAATCGCAGGACTAAACCCTCCAACTCTTCGCGCGTCAAAGAAAAAGATAACATTTGCTTTATGAGTGTCACACTTGAGTACACGGTCGGATATTAAAAAAAAAGTTCATGAAAACCATCGATAAGATCCTTGTACGCTACCTGAAAGGCTACGGGTTGATTTCGAATATTGAATCTGCTTGATTCCAGATAAACATCACTCCAGCAATTTAATATCCTGGCCAAGCCTCACCAAAAAACTTTTATAAGATGTCCGGGTAACTTCAATCTTAAGACAAACTGCTCTACGCAGATGATCGGTAATTTACAAGATTAAAAAATTAGAAACTACTTTTTATGGATGCTTATCACAATCCTCTATCAATGCAAATTATCATCCATTCAGGTGGCCTCAGACGTCGAGAAATATCGGTCACATCCATACCGAGGAAAGAATTGTAATCTATCAGATTTAACTCAATCAGCTAGAAATTCAAACCCGTGCTGATCAGGTTAAGTGATTATTGGACAAAGGATGTGGATCATTTAGAAGTCGTTCAGAAATGGGGAATGAAACGCCTGTAGTATACAGATTTACAAAAGATGTTTGATGCCATGCATATATGGACTCTAGTATCTCCATCCAAGAATGCTGTACAGTTCGCTCATGGGTCGTGTTGTGAGTCTACTCCGCAAACGCAACCACAAATTTTGATCCTCGGATGAAATCATTTACGAGTCAGACGACCGTATACCTCAATTTTTAATCACATGATTCATCACTTGTAATGCTATGGATCCAATTATGCTCTGGAATGTATTTGATTCGAACAGATTCGATTCCCGGGTACTGTAAAAAGGAAAGACCCTCCCCTCAAAGCAGTTATCGCCTAAATAATGTCTCAGAACTTACGGTCTGACCAAGACAAACTGGTCTATTTGTCGAGTCCACCGTTTGTTTAAAGTTGATATTCGGTAAAATACTTCGTCTATTGCGCTTTTTCTGATACACTAATCTTGCAAGCGATATCCAACTCACCTCGCTGATTAGTGTAATGTTAAATACGAAGCTATTACATATAAACAGGCTATCTCAGGGCTTTCGCAGAGAATTTCGATCTGTCGCTGTAATACAATTTTCCTAATTTCAATTTACGCTGCCGATAACATTACCAGTGCTTGTGGACTTATCGCCATCATTCAATATCCATAAATTCGCGTAACGATACAACAATGTTGTTAAACTTTAGTCTGAGTCAGCTGCTACTCATGTTAGTTCAAATTCGGATTCTCCGAGCCGTTATGATTGCTTGAACCCTTCACGCCGATACTATCACAATCGTCTTTTAGTATCCCGTGATGAGCAACCCGTAAAGTTAGCGGCACGAAGTTTGTGGTCACGAGAAATAATAATTTTAAGCCTTAACTCGCGTATGCATGTTCAGGTTAAATAGACATGTGTGTTCCAGGCATTTGAAGCAGTCATCATTAGATAGGGCTCAGTGTTGCCTGATCAAGTAAGAGTCCTATAGGAAGTGAGAGATGACTTAGATCTGTAAAAACGATGATTACTATAATGAAAAGTAAACACCAATCTGTAATTAATACGTTCAATAGGAAAATATCAGGCTACCGAGTGTCAGTGAGCTTTTAATTTCGCAATGAGCTCTTCACTATTCGTTTTCTTGGTTAGCAATACTTGAATGAAGTATTAGGGCTGCTTATTGTCCATATCAGGACGATATTGGACCCAGTTAATCGTGAGGCTTGTTAGCCATAGAGAGAAGAATATAATCCAAGGCCATAAATTAGACTCAGTGTCAACCAAAGGAAAGAAAAGTGTAAGCTACCTAAGGTTAAGGTACGGAATCGGGCCTGAGTATGTCAAGCTTCTGTCGTCTCATCTTCATTCTCACAACCCTGTGAGAAGAAGATCCGAGCAGGCTTGTCGTAGTCGTTTTGAATACCGTAAAAATTTCCTAGATGAATTAGCCATAATCTATCTAAGCAAGACAATTTGTGAGGTGTTTTGAAATATTCTTACCTCGAGGTACCTGCCACATTCCTCCTTTGGATATTCTAAATACATTATCATTAATCGTGACTTGAACTTTTCCGTAGAAGACGAAAAATGCCATTTGCATTTTTCTCGAATTCTTTTGTTTTTTTTCCGAGCCCGGTGGTAGGTCTACCATTCCTGCGCCGAAGAACGGCAGTGTTATGGTCTTCGCAAACCGAAATGTAGCATTTGCAATATCACGTGTGATAATAGCAGCTGAAGATAGGGCAATCTCTTCTTCCCGCTCGTCGTTCGCTGAACCTGATTGTTCATCAGGATCCCAGTTCCTAACATCAGCGATAATGCGTCCAGGATCAGCTTCCCAAGGTTCAATATCTTCCTCAACATCCGTCTCAGGATCTTCTGCTAGCTTCCTCTTCCTTACCTTTTGAGACTGGGATTTACTTTTTTGTTTCTTAGTTGGATATGGTATTTCCTCCGCACGTATAACATGCTTAATATTTCTACCAGCGAAATCTGCAGTTAGGTCTTTGGTAGAAAGCTCTCCTTCTTCAAACTCTACTTTCTCGTTACTCCAAAACGCGAGAGGTTTTATCGAATTACGACCAAAACGAGTCTTTAGGATACCATGGTTTTCCTCTGGAGTTTCGCGTCTCAGAATTAATAGGCCTTTACTTTTAGGAAGCGGTGGTCCTCGCGGACCTTTTGAGGAGCCAGCGCCGTTTACGGCAGTCTTTTTGGCGATTAATTGGGGTTTGACTTTGGAGGCCACCTTTTTTTTCTTCTTCTCTGGGATTTCTGTATCAGCATGCTCGTCATCCTGTGAATTGCTTGATCTTTTATTTTTATGGGAAGATTTATTTGGGCGTTTATATTTATTTGTGGGAGATACAGGGCCGTCAAGCTTGTCAGCGTTTGGTAGGATTTCACGAGAATCGCTTTGCTCGGGTTCTCCTACCGTAGCAGAATTTGTTCTACCTTTTCCCTTGCGCCGTGACTTTTCAGCAATATTATTGGTGGGTTCAGGTTCCTTCGCGCGGCTCTTCTTTGACTTCTCTGGCTCTATGTTTAGCTCAATTTGAGGAAGATCGGCAGACTGATTTAATGCCTCGTCAACCTCGGAATCATAGTCAGAGCTTAGTGGACTTGAACTGTCCTCGTTGGTTAAAATATTGTTCTGAACCTCATCTCTTGTCGCTTTATGGTTGGAAGCTTGTGATGCGGAAGTCCTCTTTGCTAAACGACTATTCTGGAAGATTTCAGGACTTAAGTCTCTAGGCGTACTTTGTTTAGAAGACTGTTCAGCTGCTGCGGTTCTATTCTTATTAGCAGGTTGCTTTGTCCTTGACAACTCAAGCTTTTTTTGTAGGGAGACGGTTCTAGAGGCTGTTCTAGGCTTTACAATTGAGCCTTTAAATGGCGAAGAAGCGGGTAAGATAGAAGGATTCCTTCGTGCGGGTGATTGAAGAAACGTTTTAATTGGAGAATTTGCTCTTGGAGGAGGCAACCGCGCACCTAGCTTCTGTCGTTCGGCAAGTACTAACACTCGGCCAGGAGTAGTACCTAACTTTCATTCAGCCATCTATTCTCCGTATAACTTGTTTGGTGTTGGAATGTACTCTCTACCAATTCCATGTCCTCTTCTTCTGAAATGGTAACATCTACCTGTTTAGACTCGACATTCGGACTCTTTGATTTTTCGGGTGAAGAAAATAGATGGTCCATGGGTTCGAGGCCATGTTCGTCGCGCTCGCCGAGCTCAGGAAGTGTCAAGCCCGTCTTCCTGTGGTTTCGTTAACTAAAATTCATCCCTTGCCGAGGAACATGCCTTCCTTTGACCCCCAAATCAAACGGGAACTGGTTTTCTTTGGCTTTGCGTTTTGGATTTTGATTTGAAGGTGCCATTTTTCTTCGGGTTAGTGCACCAGCTTGCAAAAATTCCAGTTATATTCTCAGTCTTTTCGGGCTCGATGGAACTTCTAGATATTTATTACATGAGTGTTATCTGGCGTGCACAAACTAAGCGGCCAATTGGGTTCTGTTGAGGGGCGGATATTTGCGCTGAAGTTGGGTTGTTTTGACAACCAATTCATTAGCTGGTTCTGACGCGCTTATCATCCTCATTCAGAAGCATGAAATTCGAATAATAATCAATGCCTCAGGCTATCATATCGCCAAGGGCAGCATGCTTCTGACAACAATAAACCGGACATATATTTATTTGTTTGTGTAATTAATGTTATACTTGAGTCACAGACTATCTAGCATATGGGCTCCCCTCTGGTCCAGGCAACACTTTGTATAATGCTCCTATCCTCTTTTGTTATTTGTAAGATCATTGATACATTGATACATTGATACATTGATACATTGATACATTGATACATTGATACATTGATACATTGATACATTGTACGTAATGAATAGCCATTCAGCTGAGTGTTTACCCGTGGATCTCACCCACCTCTCTCACGGAACCTTCTACCCAAAAAAAATAAAATATGGTAGCAATGGAAACTACGTGCGCGGGAAAAAGTCCCAATAAAATCTGCAGCCCCAGCCAGGCGGGGCCTAGACACCGGGACTACATGAGGTGCGCATATTCATCTATATCTCCCTTCTTTATAGCAGTCGAGGTCGACTTGATCCAATCCGCCATCTCCGTATCGGGTGCTGGGTACGCTCCGGAAACTCATCGGATGGATTTTCCTCCATGATCAAGGGTTGGTGATGAGAAGGGCTCCAACCCTTCCATCTGATCTGATCGTGGTTTACTTCATGATAAAGATGATAGGGGAATGTGCTTAGTGATGAAGATGATACAGACAACGAAAGCTATTGGGAATCCTCACCGAAGTGTGGCCTTTGTTACTCATTTTCGGCTCTGCATATTCTACAGTGAGAGCTGGAGGTTTGTAGGGGCCACCACTGACAAGTGTTGAGAATAGTCCCCCGACACCTCAAACTTGTACATGGGAAAATCTTCTCCTCAGTAAATACACGTAGCCTTCAATCCACAACAATCAGATAATGAGGAAAAAACATAATGTTTCACGAAAAGCGGTACCATGTTCCACGAATGTCATTTCATCGTTTTTATAATTGCATACATTTTTGTTGACCCCTCTTATCTGATTCCTCGATTTTTTCTGTAGCTCTTCGGCATGACGAGCTGGGGAGCCAGAAAATTGGATTTTGCGGCTGTAAAATTTTCACTGCATCACCACAACCAACAATGGGCAGCGGAACAACCGCAAACCTGGCTGTAGGTCTTCTCGCGACATATACAGGCGTCAATATGGATTTATGAAAGACATTAGAGAAATACTAAAGTAAGGTTCGAGGCAGATGAGTGATTACAGGTACTTACATATCTGCGGCACCGATGGTGGAAATAGATGAGGCTCATGACGCCTTCAAAGCCCACACGCAGATGTTACAATCGAAGATGTCGGCAAAGCCAATGGGTGAAAGGATACTAGCCTTGGAGAAGGCAATTACGAAGAGTATCGAGGAGCCGGTGCGCATGACGGCTCCTCAGTCGGTACAAACAATGGGAGGACGAACGAACAACCTATGTCCCAGTCGTCACACCGCCGGCAATTGAAGCAGCAGTAAGGATATGTGTCGAAGAGACAGAAAATGTGCAGCCGGTATAGCTGCTTAACAAGGCAAAAAAACACATCGAGGGGGCTTTTGCTGTAAGTAAGTTAAGGATTAACGACAACAAGGTGTTCGTGCAGTCGGTCTCCCAACGAGACGCTGCCTTGAGGATGATCCAGCCAGAGGAGTTCAGCGTACTAAAGCAGGATTACCCTGCTAATATTTTAGTAGTCCCATTGGGGACATTTATATTGGGAGGAAAAAACTCAAACAACGGCGAATTCGTAAACCAAATAATGGCGGAAACAAAATTCCAGATTTCTGACTTGAGAATCAACAGGGTGAGATAGCTCTTCGGCGAGAAGGGGCACCGATGGATGGGAAGAAACGGCCATACTCGAGGGTCAATCGTCGCGAATTTACCGACAGAAGCACTTCAACGCGGAGTGATAAGAAATGGCCTTGTATACAACTCAATGATATACACGGCCTAGCTCTAGTTATCCCGAGCGCAAATCAAGCAGTGATTCAACTGCTGTTAATGGGGGCAAACCCAAGCCTCTTGCAATAAGGCAAGGAGATGTAGTAAGTGTGCGGGCACCTAACAGACCAGGGAATGCCCGAAGAAGTCGGTACTTTGCTGCAACTGCAGCATGGACCATGAATTGTGGCAGAAGGGAGCGTGTCAGAACTTCGCAGCATACAAAGCCAGCGTTCAGCGGGCACAGTATGATCTGATGGAACGTACGGCTGAATTCAGGAAAGGAGAATTTTCACCCGCGGCTCCTACACCAGCCACAATGGCAAAAGAAACCGACGAATAGGGATTTACACGTGTGTTACACCAAAAGCCGGAGGTACTCAAGAGAGGGCCAGGAAGCCCGCATAAACAGCTCCTGGTCAACCCACCACCACAAGTATTTCGACCATCGTAGTCAAGTTCGAGACCACAGTCGTCTCTTTTCGGCACGCGAGGCCAGGGGAAGGATGGCAAGGAAAAAACATAATTTTAGCTAGTCCTTTCTCAGACTCAAAGCCAATTGCACTTCCTATAGGTAACGAAGGACTATAGAATAAGTAAAAATTAATAGGGGGAGGGAGTTTTTATCTTAATGGTTTCCTCCTCATGTAGATATATAGATAGGTTCACAGCCACCTACAAGGGCTCATAGGGCGTCAAATCAGGCTAAACAAAATCAAATTCAAAAAATTTTCAGAATAATAAATATTGTTGCTTTGCATTGAGAAGAAAGTTTAAAATCCCTCACAACTATTACCAGAAGTACTGTCCCAACTAGTACAATTGTACTTCGAGATTTTTCCACTTAGATATCTTTGACAATTTCTAACACCAGTAAGCAGTTATGTTATGAAATTTACTGCTTCTTCCTTGCATAGTAAACAAGTTTTTGATTTGGATGGTATCGATTGTAGAGGGGATGGGTGTAGTTCCAGTTATGAAACTGGGTTATGAGTGGATAGGGGTATACTGTTACGGGTTTTACCCGGTGTTAGTTGGCTGGGCTGACTTACTGGCCCAGCCTTGCATGTAAGGGGGATGTGGCAAATAGGCCTGTCTATTGCAACAGGTTAGACGCTTAGTAAGTGCTTATGTAAGGTGGTCATCAGCACACACTTTACATTGGCTCTGTCCCTCTGAAGTGTTCTCTTCATAGAAAATATAGATTATTTTGTGACAGCCTTTGCGTGCAGCGTCCGTGATTCCCGTCCCTTTACATATACCTGTACTATTAGTTGATCAAGCTGGTGTGCTGTTGGGGTCTATCTGTAAGTTAGTCGAGACTGTAGTAGATGAGAGATTAGAATGGAGGGCAAGACTGAACACCTGTACGCGGTGTCCTCTACGAACCTGGGAGTGAAATATTCTCCCAGAGCCAAGTTCAGTCAAACTTCGCAATACCGAACAAGTTGGCCCACGAGGCAATGATTCAAATTACTCCACCATATCAATCTTTCACTCCCAACGAAATCGATTCCTACTTAAGCCTCATCAAGTTTACAAGTACGACCTAGTACATCCTAATCCCAATGACCACACCTCTTGTCGACTTTCTCTGGCCTTAGCTGGTCGCCAGATACACGCCCACGCCGATATTTACACCCGACGGAGGAAGCAAAGCGTGGCGCACAAATCTGGAAGACAATTCCTTGGGATGGATGTGAGAGGGATCAGGACAAGTTAATAAGATGATGCAGAGGATTGGATACAGTCTCGACGGGCGTGGAATTTTGAAATCTGGAAAGGAGTTTTTACAAATTGAGCTTTGTGCGTACCAAGTCTTCGGCTGCGAGAGTGCAGGCGACACTATAAAAACTGCCATGGTTGGATGGTGCGGTGGTACATCATCTTGGCCGGTCTGCCAAGTAGAGTCTGGATAGCTTGGACACATATCCCACTTGAGACAGTAGATCGCTGGTTCGAATCCGGCAAAACACAACCACATTTCTCGCGGCGCTGGTATGCATGGATGACGAAGGCATGCTTGGATAACCAAAGGTTTCGAAATTCCCTTTGGTGGGTACTAACGGAGGAGGGTCGACTGTTTGTGTAAGCAAACATACCTCATAGTGGTATTTGCAAATGAAATCCAGAGTATGAGTGTCTCTAATGTCAAAAGAGTCATCCAATATGTATACATAGCACCGGTCATGTGTCATAGCTAGATAGCTGAATACACATTAAATGATTCAAAAAAAAAAAAAAAAAAAAAAAAAAAAAGAGAGATTAGAATGATTAATTGATGATATCTAAATGTAGAGTTATCACTCTTTTATATACAATGCTCATTCGCTTGTCCTCACTCTACATTACTACACCAGTTCTTCTGTAACTTCGACGGGGACTCCTTGACTTATCTGCCATGAGCTGAATCTTCTGGATTAGATTCATGATATTCACAACAGTCCCGAATCTGGTAAGAGTCGGAATATCCTCTGGACCCTCAAATCATGAACTCAGTCGAGGCCAATTCTACTGTCAAATGATCTAATGACTTAATGACCTTTCATGTATTATCCTAGAAATGATGATTAATTATGTTGATGAGTAATGAGTTACCTGTTTAAGAATGGCGTCAGGAGAGAGGGACAACTGCTGTATATACATGTTTCCTTTAGGTAGAAGACAAGAATCAAGACACATGTTAACCACCAATTGTTATTACTGCTACAGAAAGCTTGTGATATAAATACCCCTCGAGCATTCCGACATCTACTTTTGTTGCATGTTTGTAGTCCCAGATAGTGATGGGCACTATAGATGGTCTCCATAGCTCGGAGTC